AGGAGTAAGAAATATTGTATTCATTAGCCTAAGAGGTCACAGACCCAACAACCTTTTCCAATCTTTTTTCTAGGAACTGTTTCAAATCTAAAGATAGATCACCAAAGCGAGGATGACTGTTCAGCTCCTTCAAACCTTTCTTCTAGTAAATACAGACAGTATAAACCATCTGTGTCTCTACCCTTAGGTAACTTTCCTGTGGCTCACAAAGAGAAGGCTACTTTTTCTCTCCTGAAATGAAGAGAATGGAAATATGAAAAATGTGGGAAGATGACTACAAATGGAACCCTTCAGTACAGACCCCTCAAGAAAAAAAAAAATCTGTTTATGTCCCCTGGGGGTCCCAGAATGGCATTCCTCAGGAAAGAGGTTAAGGTGGTTAAAATAGGTAAGATTTATATTATTTATCGATCCTATTTAGCACTGGTGGTTTGAAAATATTTAATCACATGTCATACCAACTTAGAACACTTGCTTGGCTTTCATTTATACCAGTTTTATGTAATGTATTTCTTCTATAAATAGTATGTCCTGCTAGCTCATATAATGGCAGGATATAATTAAAGTTCACAAACTGCTCTTCAGCATGCTACAGATTGCGTACTATGTATCACATTGCCATATCTGTGGTATACACCTGATTTACCTTACTTTTTAATACAAAATACCAATATTTAGTGTTCTATTTAAGAACACTTAAGGCATTCTCTCAGTTTTTATAAGCACCTAAACATGTATTTTTAACGCATAATCAGATATTTTTGATGCATATGGAATTGGAAGCAGTAAACTGGAGGGCACAGAGAACCTAGAGTCAAATGCACAGTGTGCTGTCTTAAGGTAAGGTTAAGCAGCTACCTTCTGATTTATTGAGTTGTACAGAGAATACTAAGGAAAAGAAGTGCACATGCAACATCATCTTTCCTCCTCTCCTACTTCAGAAGGACTAGGAGGCTTCCAGAAAGAGCTGAGGCAAACAAAACACTGTTTTATGTTGCACTAGAAGCCAGACAGGAGCTACAACTGGAAAAAACCCTATAAAATAGCAAATCTTTGAGTCTCTCATCTTTGCCTCTGCAAAACACAGGCATGCTATACGGCCTGAAAGATTTTGCTTTTAGCACAGAACAAGTGGACTGTTAGATAAGCGAGATCAACCTTGAACACAGAGTCTCTCTCCCTTGTTTTGAAAAAGGGATTATTTTAATCATGCCTTAAAATCTCACCTTCGTGGTACCAATATCAACAAAATAACAGACTCTTGCTAAAGTAACAGAAGTTGTTAAAACACCTTGGTAACATTTTTAGACACTATCAGTAGCTGCCTCAGAATAAGCCACAAGTTAACTGCACACTCAGACCATGCATTCAAAACAATCAGCACTACAATGCAGAAATAAGAGGATATAGACCACTGCTGGACTTGACGCCCTCCAGAAAAGGGCTAAGGAAATTAGTTTTATAGCTACCTCCAACTACCATTTAGCTGGGTGCTAAAAATACTACAGGAGAGATGATGTAATATAATCTCACTGCCTTTTTCAACCATCTAATAATTATCCAGCTCTTAGTTCTCCTACACAGGCTAAACTCACTATTAAACTTAAAATGGATGATACATAAAACCTAATATGTCTTTCATTCCCAAGTATTTAAAGGCATTTGCTAAGCAACTAAAAAAGAAAAACAAAACAAAAAACCCTTGACCTACATAGACTACCTATCTTTAGGCTAAGATATAGGTATCTGTTCCTCTTCATAGTAAGAAAGCTAAGAATAACTTCAGTTACAAGAAGAAATTCAGGTAGGCTGTGTATTTATCATAATCTAGAAGAAGTCTTTTGTTCAGCTGCAAATAGCAAGGTATCTTTCTCCTTGTTCCTTAAATTTATGTTCATCTATTTCAAACATCTGCAGTACATCCTTCACTGAAAAATCTGGAATTGGAGACCTCATGTTATTCCATACTTTTCTTTATGCAGTTTCTTTCCTTGGTTGGTTTGTTAGTGCATATTCACTACTGTTTAGACATATTTTCCAATTCCATCCCACAAATTATATTTAGACATTTGTTACTTGATAAAATTAAATTACTTATTTTGCTATTCACATAACCTGTATTTTCTTCTCTGAAACAGTTTTTACAGTAAGCTGCATAGACGAAGTAAAAAATATAGGCAAAAACACAGTGTGGTAAAGCACTAAAAATGAGGACTAAGACAGGGGGTACAGCAAGAACAAAACAGGATGATCAGTTACACAAAATAGAACCGAAAAGGCTGAAAGCTTCTCTAGCAAAAAGAATGCAAATTAAATCGCATTACCCTTACAGAGTTGCTTAGACCTTGAAGTTATGTCCTTACTAGTGCATTTGTAATCTATCAAAAAAAAAAAAAAAAAAGAGCTAAAATAACAAGAATTAAACAGTATGTGCTAATGGGTCTCAGTAGCTCTACAAATCCCAAATACCATCAGGGATCAGAAATAATTTTGGCAAATCATTTCATTAAAAACAGCAAGTTCTCTATTAAATAAAGGCATATAGGCTTTGTTTTTCTCTTTAAAACTGTTATTAAAGGTATGAGACTTAACTGTATTTTTTCAACTAAATTCTAATCTTCATCCAAACATTGCTTCACATAAAGTTTAAAAAAAAAGTACTAAATAAATGCAGTATCCATTCTTTAAAGCATTATCAGTCATAGCAATGTGTCAAAAATTGACTAAATGAAAAGAGTCATATCTGACTGTTTTTAAGCTTGCTAAATGTAACTAACTGCATTAGTAAAACTTCTTGAGATAATAAAAGTAAGACTTCTTGATCAGAGCTGGCTCATGTCTAACCAGCTTTCAGGGCATGTTGAGCTTGCTCGCAATGTCTCCAACAGTGCACAGGCATATCAGATTGAATATGAAGGAAAATTTTCCAATGTATTTCTTTTGAGCATAATCCTAAATCCTACTGCTGCAATCTGACAGCAACAGGGAATCTATGTAATGCTTAAAATTATTGGATTTATTTTAAAATGCCAGCTAGAGACTCCAAATAGAAAACAAAGGATAGAAGGGAAGCAAACCAGAAACAGCTTTCAGAACACAAGGATGCAAGCACTATTTCGGACAACAAGATATAATATGAAAGTGTTATTTTTATATATATATATTTTGTTTTATTGAAGCTACTAGAAATTACTGATTTATTCAGACAGACATTCAGAAAAAGGTTCAGAACGTAATTTTTAAGAGATTCCCAATAAATAAAGTGTCTGTAGACTAAATCCAATGATAAAACAAGAGTCAAAATAGTAAATAATGGGCAAATCTAGGGTTATGAATGTTCACTGACCTTAGTTTACCTCTAAAGTATCCCCAGACCAAGTTTGTTAACATGCATAAAAGTATCATATGTTGGGGAAAAACAAAAACAGACAAAAATCAAACCAAAACAAAAAAGAACAAAAACACCCCAAACCACACAAAACCAAACCCTCCCCACCTTCCCCCCCCAAAAAAAACCAAAACCACCACAGATTTTCCCTTACTGCATTTCTGCGTGCCTAACAAAGATGCACAACAACAAAGAAAACCTCAAACAATATCCATTTCCCAATGCCAAGACTAAAACCCAGATGGATGAACAGAAACACCAATGCAGACTGGAGTCACTCCACAGCAACTCCCACTTTCTCCAGAGTGGAAGACAGTGCTTTTATGCAGCACATGTACAGCTTCTTCTAATTATACCCACAGATGTTAAGTAGAACTGCCTGTTCTCCAGGAAAGTGACCCTCCAAACCCTCTGTGAAAGAAACAACATTTGTTTCTTTAAGGAAAAAGTTCAAGTTACTGAGGGGTCCTGGGTAAAAACCACAAGAACAGCCTCTACCTCCACTTGCAAACCATGCTTTTATAATAGTAATGTGAATGTAAGAAGAACACCTCAATCTACAGTCAGAGATTTAACTATTTCTTTAATAACATATTTTCTTCCTATTTTGTCTTTAGCAGTTGAAACTTCGGCAAGAAGGAAACCATCCAAAGGACTGCTGCATTGGCAGTACTTTCAGAAGCATTTACCTAGGAAGTCACAGGGAGAGAAAAAAGAAACCAGCATTCTGTACACATTTGAGCTGAATAAGTATCTTATGTCAGTGCTATAAATCTTTTTATTGCAAATAAAATCATTAATTCTTCTCTCAAAATCTTTTGTAGCAATAATCGGAACCCGAGAACGGCTGTGACAATGTCAGCTTGTTGCCAAAGACCAAAGGAAGTTAACCCTTCAGGCAGTGATTCTAAAAATACCCAATATACTACCAAGCATTTGACAGAAAGAATGAAAGATGTGCTGCACTGCAAAAGAAAGCCAGCACGTCCAGAATGTTAAATACTGAATACAGCAATCTCAGCATAGTGCTATAATCCAGGGCAAATCAGAAGCAAATACCAGGACAAAACACAAGCAAAACAGCCTTGAAAGGCCTGATGATTCAGGGTGTCAAGCTGAATCTGAAATTATCTTCTAAACTATTCTCCATGTACTAGTGTCACAATGCTTCAATATTTTCTATTTTCATAATTTTTCAGTTTAATCGTAACATCAAACATGTTATCACTCACGTGGAATGTTGTCCTACTTTTAATTATTGTCTGTCTTTTTATCCCTCTAACAACTCAGGAATGCTGCAGCCATGGAAGCCCAAATCCTCAGGCATTATTCTATATAGCAACAGACAGGACTTCTTCAGGAAAGGCACATTAGAGAAATGGGGAACACAGTCACATTCATTTGCATAACCAACTTTTAAGTACACTGGACCATAACCCAGTTTCTGTTAATACTATTTAGAGAACACAGCTCTTTCAATTTACCAAAAACCTGCTGAACTTGTTCCCTTCTGTACGTAGTGGTGGTTCAAAGGCAGGAGGAAAACGATTCATAGGAAAGTAGAAAAGGCAAATAAAATAAATAAATAAAAAAAAACAACAACCCACTACTGAGGTCCATATTAGCAGTTTGCACATTTTTCTAGTGTTGATTCATCCATCAAAGGCATTCTTACATTTGTACATTCTCCTCCAGACACTGGAAGGAATGCTCTCCACACAATGCTCCTGAAAGGAAATCATGCCTCTCCTAGAAGAATGCCAAATGGTCTGTATGGATTCACATGTAACAATAACCCTAAAGACAGAAGAAATGAAAAAAAAAAAAAAGTAGCATTCAGGACAAGAGAGAGACAGTGAAAATAAAAGGAAAAACTGATTTCCCCAGTTCTAATTCTATGGAAGCCTTTACACAGTTTAAAACTTTTGAATACACTACGAACATTGAACAAAACTGTTATCAAGTACCCCTGTACCTCTGCATCTCTTCCCAAACCAAGTACAATTGGTCCTAAACAGTATTATCTGCACTTCAGTATCTGAGCCAAACTAGCACTGCTTGAAAACTAAACAAAACACTCCCCAAGCCCATCACTAAAATATACAAAATTTAAGACATGAGTGAATCCTACATCAACTACTACTTTTATGAACAGACAAATATATTGCTATACATTCATTAACCATTTATAATGGAACTCATGCTATCCTTGTTGCGAGTGGTCTGTTACTTACACTTAAGCATTTGTTGAGAAATTTTCTGATTTAATATTCTGGAAATTTGCCTGAAGAAAGTGCTTGTGATCAGGACCACAGAGCACAGCTGCGAATTTAGAAAGATATTTAGAACAAGAGCTCTACTCAGGGGTGAAAGCATTTTTCCAAAAAGCCTTAAGAATCAGATTCAAGTTCTAGCATATGACTTCATGAAATGTATTTTAATCTGACATCATGCACTGCATATTTGAGCATATAATCTATTTTAAGACACTTCTACAGAAAACCATTATAGTCAAATGCAATGACTGGCATTCCTACAATTGCAGAAAGGAAAAACAATACAGACTGGAAAAAGAAATCAATTATACAGCATTTCTCTGTAGTCTTACCACATAAGTTTCATTTTTATTACAACCTTCCATGGATTTGGCAGATTTCATAAGCTACTAATTAAAAGGCCAGTCTCAGTAGAAGATAATGTAAGTGGGAACCTTCAAAATTTCAAAGAACGGATAAGCCAGATGCCTAGGTATTTCCTAACTACAAATTTACCTATGACTAGCCCATCCTTGGCCATCTAAAAAACTATGGGTGGATGGGGTTTTGTTTTGTTTTAAATTAGAAGTAGAGAAATGCATTTAAAGACAGTCTCATAAAATATAAGAGAAATAACTATATATGTATACTTACAGGTATTTCTCTTTAATCACAAACTATAAAGACTACCACCTACACATTAATAAAAAAAAAACAACTTAAGTCTCAAGAAAAAGAGGAAAATTCCTTTGTGCAGACATGATCCTGCATGGAATTCTTAACATTATTGAGACTGAAAGACAAACACAAGTTCCACTCTGAAGAAATACCAACACCCACCATAAGAAAAATCCAAATCCACATCCTACACTAATCAAGATATTTTTTCTGAGTAGAACAGCAAGTAAACAACAGATAAGAGATATTGTATACTCTCTATACTGGGGTTACTTTAAGGATGCAAGATATAAAGATATAAACTAACCCAAAAAATTATACTAAGCAAAAATTACACCCATATATTTTAACTTCACAGGAAAATCATATCTTAAATACCAAATCTAAAATTATTTTCCTGACTTAAAGGGAAGAATTATTGTAATTTGTAACCAACACAGAAATGTAAGACTAAGAATGTTAAGAATTACATTAAACAAAACAAACCGAACAAGAAACACCAAAAAAAACCCACACACACAAAAAAACCCCACACACCCACAAAGCATCTTTGGAAAGAAAAAAAAAAGTCATTTAAAAGATTCTTGTTTGAATATCTGAATATCTTTGAATATCTAAAACTGGGAGTTGAAAGAATATAAACAACAGTTAGTTTTCCTAAATGGACCTAAATCATTATGACAGTTTGACAGTATTAAAACTAATGCCTACATAAATCTCAAACATACCTAGAAATTTCCTTTGTTGCATTAGATGCTATTATTATAAATTTTCCAGATAGAGCACAAAAATAGAACTGCAGTTCAGGAATGCCTGAATGTGGAATAAACAGATATGCAGTGCCCTTATAGTGGATTTAGATAACCCATATATGAGATTATAGAAGAATAACTACTGATCTTAAATTTGATGCATTTCTTAATACATATTAGTTTTCAGTTGTGAACAACTGAAGGCAGGGAATTCTGTATTATGCCAGTGATTGTCTTAACAGCTTAGCAGGATACTAACACAATTTATAGAAATGGATAAACATTCCAAATCCATAATAGCACATTTTTGTGGCCTATATACTGTAATAAATGCATTTGTCCAACAAAGGAGTGGGTGGGAGAATTAAGTCAAAATTACAATGGTACTTTTTTGTGCAAACTACAAGGCAACTGTGGTGGTTTAAATGTCATAGTTGGCTAAAAAAGGAAAGTATTATTAAAAACAAAAGAGCGCCCTAAATTTTGATTGCGATGCCTGATTTTTACATCCATTTCTTTTTCTATTATTTTATGTATTTTTTATTCATGTTAAGTACCTGTTTCATTGCCCATGTAACGGCAAGCAACTGTGAATGGCATGCTTTAGGGAAGAATGTTTCCCTTTCAAAGGACAGTGCTCGTACAAACTGATTATTTCTGAAACTAACCAACAGAGAAGAATATCCTAATTACTCATTAGTACAGTAAATTTCATCTCATCCTTTGTGCCCCTAAACCAGGTATGATCAATTACATGCTCTATATTGCTGTCTTTGTGAAATAAGGCACCTGCCTATAGGCAAGATTAACCTTTAAGCATCTTGCTTAAGGAAATATTTTAAGAGTACAGCTCTAAAGTCTTATCCAAACTAAAGTGCTCCAGCAGGTAGGAAAGGTGCAAAATCAAAGCACTCCTGGGCAATCACCGATAACATCTATATATCTTCGACCACAAACTATATTGGAAGTAATATACAGTGATACATTTTCCCACTTCACTTACCTGAGGCTTAAAAACTCTTAACACTGAAAACAGACACTATTATAGTGTTATGAAAAGCTGGTGTCACAAATTGAAAGTAAAAATGGGACTTGGTATGTCACAGTTATTTATCAGTGAGATATACTTAGAGATGCTATTTAAATTCTATCTCATGTTTCATCACAAAGTATATATTGCCTCTTAGATTCAAAAATTCATCTTTGTCCAAAAACAACTAGCAGACAAAAATTAATTACCTGTAGTGATGCTGATTATGTAAGGCTGCAAATGAAAGCTGCAGTAGTTCCACACTAATACACAAAAGCCTTTAAAGTGTATGCTATGTAATTATTTGTCATTGCTATTTCTATTTTGTTTCCTTGATAGCTTCAAAAATACCACAAGCATCACTTATTCTTGCAGATAACATTTCAAAACTCTTAATGTTAAAAGCTTTGAAAATTTTTTCTCAATGTTATAAAAATATGTAAAATGTCTTGTACAAAATTACACTAAAATCAAAAGTACCCCTTTACAATAAAGCCCATTTTAGACACACTCCTTCCGAAAATCACACAGGATAACATATCAATACGTCTTTGTTTATTTTTAACTATTCCTAAGAGCATGGACAGTAACTCATTTTCTGTTGACAAACAGGATGGACTCAATGCTGCCCAACTGGTTTATTTGAAGGCTAAGATTCTCACTAGCTTCTTAAATAGAGTTTGATTGAAACGCGACTGCTCAGATTGCAACCTTTTCTAGAACAAATAAAATACAGTAATAATCTTGCTGTAGGAATTATTTTTTATGTTTCTAGCTTCACAGTGTAGACGGACAGGTAGAAACAGCTACATTTAAAGAACAAAGGTGAATGCAAAAAGTAAGATAAAGGAAAAAAAAAAATCACTTCCCTCTCTCTTCCCCCCCCTGCCCCCAAAGTCTGCACTTCTGCCTCCCAGGTTACTCTTACAATAGATGTGAACTTAATAAAGCAAAAAGCTATATTTACTTTAAAAAATATAATTTCTCAAGCTGGAAAACACTTTTCCTATTCACAATCTTACTTCATCTGCTGACTTTTTAAAATCATCTTCCAGATACCAAGACATTATTTGTAATAAAAAATACTATCACAGAAGGTGTGATAGTAAAAGTGATGATTTGTCAAGATACTCATTTCCTATTTTCTCTGGTATTTCTCTGACAGCCGTAACAGTGGTGTACATTAAACTTCTGAGTGGAGATTTATGAATGGTGCTCCACATTTTAAGGGTTGTTGTTACAAGTAGAGGCTTCTGTATCTTTTTCCAAATCAGTCAATACTTCCTTGCACCCAGGAAGATAGAATATCAAGATTATGAAAGAGGAGGAAGACACTGATGAAATATTGTCAAGGTTATTGCTATTATTAAGATGTTACAGCTTCACCAAGCTTAAAAGAAATCTGGATTTCTTATGTTAAGGAGCACATAAAGCCTTTGGCTGAATTTCCAGAATCCATATTGACACACAACAGATTAAAGAGGAAGCAATGTTTGATATGAAAAGCTATCTCAATTGCACACAGCATACAGTATGTTCATTTCTGTCCTTTATCACTTCAATACAAAAATTTTGCATAACTGTGTGATGTACATTTTGCACAAGACAATTTAATAATATGCCACCAGTCCTATTAAACAGGATTTTTAACTCAAGTCTTCAAGTTTTCAGAAACTGAAAACCAAATTCTATAAAGTATTTGTTCCCTTGCATTGTAAGTGCACTTGCATTATAAAAAGATAAAATATATCCTAATGAATGTATTTTATACCTATTTCATTAATACCTTTCAGTTAAAAACAAGGCCATTTTATTTTTAAATATTACTATGGGTTTTTTTTATTATTATTTTAGGTCTTTCAGCTAGCTAGAATATAAGCTTCCCTTATGGTAGAAAAAGAGTGTGAAGAGTAAGAAACGAGTACAGTGCTTGTCAATTAAATTTCTATGTAAGCAAAAATGTACACACAGAGTTTAAATATTGGCAACATCAGTTTTTCTATTATACAACTTTGCACCACTTTTTAGAGTATTGCAAGATATTTCTTTTTGGCACAGCAACTTAGTTTAAGTTTTTTGGTTTTGGTTTTTTTTTTGTTTGTTTGTTTTGTTTTATAAAAGCATTTATTTTACTACAACAGTAGCAAGGTAATGAAACAGTAAGCAATTATGAACAAATGCAATTATACCAAGAGAATGATACTGCCTTCTCACATTCCATTCTTCAAAAATTCTACCAGGAAAATTTAATCTGTTTCCAAAGGCTTTTCCAAAATAATGAAAATAATAAGCAATCCGTCTTCCCCCCCAGTATGAATCATAACATATAAAATGCAATAAAATTCCTACCTCTTTCAGTAAGACTGTTTAGCACTGCCCTTTCAAGCTGCTCTTCTTCAGTAAGCCCACCTGTATAATCATAATAGTTCCTTGGCGTTCCATACTGATAACTTGAATAGCCATAATAGTCTGTAAAATTAATACAAAATAAAGCAAATAAACTCCTGCTACTCAGTAGGAGAGTGTGGAATCAGGTAGCACCTTTATGTTATCTTTCTTCTACAGATTATTTTAACTTGTAAAAGATAAAAATACTGGAATTCAATTACTTATACAATATATACCATGAAGCAATTTCTAATTTACAAAGCCAGACCTTGGTAATAGGAGAAAGAAAAGCAACAGTAAAAAGATGCATGAAACATTTTTTTTCTAATTGTTGCATCATAGAACTGTTATTAGTAACAAGTTTCACACAGAAATCAAAAGACACTTTTCATCAGCTCCTTTTAACATGCAATTGTCACTACTAGGACAACTTATTAATGTCACTAGAACAGCAACAACAGGTAGATTTCAGGCTTTTTTCCACCTGCCTCTCTCTTTCCCCCAGTGTCCTTAAACAACGTCATCATAAATTCAAATAATGCTTGGACCTAGAGAACAAGGGAGAAAATATTCCTGCAAGTTTTTGCAGTAACATACACAACTAATATGGTGCTACTGCGTAGCTACATCTTCCCTGGAAAAAACCCACCACACCATAGATCTCATCTAATGTCTCAATCACTCTAAGTTTCCCACCTTGCTGACACCCAGAATTCCTGGTCATTTACCAAGTTTGTCAAAACAAACAAGCCATAATACACCCAAAGACACAGGATTTAAAAGAAATAAAAAAATACTTTGCTAGAGATTTGAGCAAGGCTTTCTTCCTTTTAACACAACTAGATCTTGCCTGGGCACAGAAAATCTAAACTGAGAAAAACTAAAGAGAAAAGTTCCATTTTCCTATTCCATTTTTGCTCCTTCAAAATTAAAAGCTTTGGGTGACATTTTAACTTCTCTTCCAGACAGCTGGACAGGGAAATTGAAGAACCAAAATACAGAAACATTGCCAGTTTCTGACAGAAGATGTACACAAGTTTTTTAAAATTACATAATTCAAAATGAGTTTTTATGAAACAAACTGAGCATTACTATTTCCCTTCATCTTTGAATTATTAGCATCTATTAGAGTCTTGTGTTACTTCATCAGTTATATGGATTTCATATGTAACTTTCTGTGAAGTTTCTGTGATTAATAACAGAGACTATGAAGTGAGGAGATGAATAATTTCTTTTTAGAAATAATTGTGTTAAAGAAAAAAATCCTGAGCTCTAAAACCTTAAGACAAATAAAGAAAGTGATACCCTACCTTAAACTGGAAAAGCAGGAAAAATGGAAAACTGCACACTATTCTACATATAGAATCACAGAATAGTTAAGGCTGGAAAGGACTGTAAGATCATTTAGTTCCAACCCCCCTGCCATGGGCAGGGACACCTCACACTAAACCATGTTATCCAAGGCTCTGTCCAACCTGGCCCTGAACAGCTCCAGGGATGGAGCATTCACAGCTGCCCTGGGCAACCCGTTCCAGGGCCTCACCATCCTAACAGGAAAGAACTTCTTCCTTATATCCAACCTAAACTTCCCCTGTTTAAGCTTCAACCCATTACCCCTTGTCCTATCACTACAGTCCCTAATGAAGAGTCCCTCCCCAGCATCCCTATAGGCCCCCTTCAGATACTGGAAAGCTGCTATGAGGTCTCCATGCAGCCTCCTCTTCTCCAGGCTGAACAGCCCCAACTTTCTCAGCCTGTCTTCATATGGGAGATGCTCCAGCCCCCTGATCATCCTCATGGCCCTCCTCTGGACTTGCTCCAACAGTTCCATATCTTTTTTATGTTGAGGACACCAGAACTGCACGCAATACTCCAAGTGAGGTCTCATGAGAGCTGAGTAGAGGGGCAGGACCTCCTTCGACTTGCTGGTCACATGTATCTATTATGGACATACTCCTACAGGTATTTTATATACATCTGGATGTGTACAAAGATGTATGTATACATTATACACAGAGCAAAAAGATTTAATTTTGTCTGTTTGCAAATTTTTCCCTTTTTTGAGCATACAGTTGACATGGGGAGAATTTTCATACGTCTTGCAGTGAACGCTTTTTATTACCCTCCATCAACTCCTCTGGTCAGAAAACACTTTTGTCTTTTCATCTGTATGAATTACAGTCATTTTTAACAAACTTTAAGGGTCTTTAAGACCTACTGGCTACATTTAAGAGACGATATTATAGAAAAGCAAAACTGGCTACAGAATACCATTTAGCTGTTACACATACACACTTAGGATGCAATCTCCCTGTAGTATCATTCCCCTCTGCATTATGCTAACGTGAATAAACGTTTTCTCAGCTACAAATTTATTTTCTGGAGGCTTCAAAAAACTGCATAAATGAAGACTATGAAAATTCTGATACTAAAAGCATGAAATAAAAAGGGTGTAGTATTTTAAGTTTGTTCTATTACCGTAAATTTTTTATGCTTGTTATTTTACACTGTTATTAAGTTATAAGTGCTCAGTTTGCCCTAATCCTTTCTGTTACAGCTGGTATTCCAATTAATCAGAATAAACGTCCTAATACTTTATTCACAAAGTGCACTTAGATAAAACAACTACGTTACTAAACACTAAGCATGTTAAAACTATGCTTTAAAACATTTTTTTTTCTTGTAAAGCCCTTTGCTTGTAGTTTTATGAAGTCCATTCTGATCATAGAGTTATCTATTTTTCTATTTAAATTGGTATTTAAAGGCAAATAGTAATAAATCGGCAATATCAGAAAATGAAAAAAGAAAACAAATTCAAACAAGAAATGTGGCATTAGCCCATGACACCAAAGAGAATTTTCCTAATTCACAGATGGCCAAATTTTTTTAACTGCAGTTGTAAGTCATTTTAGAGAAATTAATTTAGTACAAAAACAGAACAACAACAACAACAAAAAAAACACCAAAAAAACCCCAAACCAAACAAAAAAAAAAAAAACATCAAAACTTTGGTTACGTCTAAAGCCAAACTTGGAAGACAAGACAGTTCAGGTTAACCCTCTCCATTACACTCCTTTTGCCACAAAAACTCAGAACAGCATGGCTATTTTGGGGACTGCTCAAGACATGCAAAAAGCCACAGACTTCCTTGTCAGCATATAGAAGGTTTTTTTTTCTCAGATGCCAGACATATTGCAAGTTAAACAGCTATTCACAGTCTGCTCCTATATCACAAGGATGGTCTTTTACACCCACCCAAGCTCCAAGTATTGGTGTTTGTGTAGATTATGGAGTTTAAATGTCAAGTACAAATTCTTATATTCATTAGCCATTAAAGTACCTTTACCAATATAAATGTTTTAGAGTTCCCATTCACGCTGCTGTACTGGGATACTGAAGGAAAATTTAGCATCTATGAACATGGAATACAGAGCAATGGAAGCAGCACACCCAGGTTCTGACAGACTGAACAGTATGTGTATGTAGGTGAACATCTTCAGCTGGGCTGACACTGCCAGTCATGTGCTCACTACACAGGCTATGTTCACATCTCATTTAATTTCAAAATATTACTTTTTTTTTTTATTTCTTTACTATCCTTTAGATCAAATGTGTTTTACTTGAGAACTGGAATAATGGAAATCCTGGGTAAATTTAAGTTATAACAATCCTTGCTGCTGTTGGTAAGGAAAGTAGGTAAATATCTTTTGGCCAGGAAGTACAAAACAAGTGCTTCAAAAATATTCAAGGGCCTAATCTCACTTGTGGGAATTATTTAATTATTTAATTAATTTCATTATAATGACATTGGAGGTAGATAACGGAAGACAAAAATCCCCCATGGAAAATAAAACCAGTGCTCACCTTGGCTCACTGTGGTTTGAGTAAGCACATATTGCTTATTAATGACTATAAAAAAAAAATAAAAGCTCCTGCATTACTAAGCATCAGAGAATAGTAAGAATGATCAACCATACAAAATAGTTTTTGTGCAAGTAACCATATAGACAACTTTTCAACCAGATAAAAACAAGATGACTATGGTGAGTCTAGGACTGAATTCTATAAAACCATAAAGAATATGAAGTACATGAAGAATGAAGGTTTAGGTTCTTTTAGTTTCCCTTCCTAGAGAAGGATTAATGTGCATCAAATGAAATTAGCGGCTAGAAGATGCAAAGCAAACAAAAATGACAGATTCTACACCAGAAAGTAAACTGTGAAGTAATTCTTCTGTGATGTAGGTGTTAAAAGAGTTCATGCCGATTCAAAGAGCTTTTGACAAATTCATAAAAGAAGAATCTACCACAGGCTATTAAACACAAAATTCCTCCATAGAACTTGCTGCTGAGAACATCTAAAGCCACAAGCCACCGCACAGTGGCAAATATTTGAGGGAGTTATCACTACATATTTATCTTGTTCTTACAGCAGGTGGTTAGGAAAGGGTAAAAATCACTGCAGGAGATAACATACTCTAGGCTATACATCCCTTAGCTTTGATCCAACACACAGCCCCTTTCACAGCTGGCTCCTCTCCTGTCCCTCCTAGACAAGGCCTCCACCTATTATTTCTATACACACCACATATAATTATTCCACCTACATAAGAAGTGAATCAAACGCGCTACATTCAAAGTGTGCCAGTATTCCAACTACTCATCTATATACTGTGAAAAAAGCCTAAATTTATTCTGGCAAGGAGTGGGCTTTTTCCATGTAGATTACATGGTTTACAAAAAGTGTTCAAAGGAAGCAGTTCCCTTGTGAGTGGGGGAAGTCCTAGAATGGAACAGATAAATTTGCCAGATCAGGGCAGATTTACCAAGGTTCAGCAGGCTGCTTTCACTAGACACAATTCCTTACCCCCCCCCCCCCACTACACCTTCTGCAAAAGAGGTGGTATTTCCCCAGGGTTGCATTTTATGAATTCATTAAGTTAATTCCATGTTTAAAGTCTCTTGTACAAAATACACCCACTGTTCCCTAAAAAGGAAAGGTGAGACATGCCCAAAGTAGTATGTTTAGCATGTATACATATGCACAGAATATTTCATATCTTATATATGTTTCCATTTATCTAGCTCCTCTATAGGTTTTCTATCATTAACAAATATTATTCTTTTGAAGCTGGAGTAAGTGTTTAGGTAAGCAGGTGAGAGTACTTACCTGAATAGTAATCCCTTGGCCTGGCAGGGTCAGACACTGAAAAAATGCCACCTAAATATAACATGTGCTGTTAGAATAAAATAAACACACCTGTCTTCATAAAATACAAAAATCAAGTTTAAAATACTCTTTCTTTCAGAGTTTGTTTCATCAGACACAAATATGAAACCATGAGTATCTATCAATTTTTTTTAGCATTAGTGAGGGAATATAGTCTTGGTAAGCCTGTATGTTGTTCCAGATTTTATAGTAATGCGCCATGTTTAAGCAACCTACTCATGTAGCCTAGAAGTATGGGAAGCAACCTACCAAATGTTCTCCAGAATATATAATAGATAATTCCTGCACTGAGACTGCTCATTGATATAAATGGTGTCCTGGGTCCAGCAGTAGCAGTATTTTTTCTCCTCCTTAGTAGCTGGTGGAGCGCTGTGGTTTTGACTTTCGGCCTGGGAACAGCACTGATAACACCGATGTTTTTAGTTACTCCTCAAATGTTTAGTCTGACCAAGGACCTTCTGAGCCTCATGCTCTGCCAGGGAGGAGGGGAAGCCGGGAGGAAGCAGAGACAGGACACTTTACCCAAACTGACCAAAGAGGTATTCCATACCACAGCACGTCATGCCCAGGATGTAACTGAGTTACCCAGAAGGGCTGGGAACTGTGGGGTTGGACTAGGTATCGGTCAGTGCTCGATCGGGCTGAGTATTATCAGTCAGCGGGTGGTATTGTATTCTCTTCCCTTGTTATTTCCTTTATCGTTATTATTATTGGTGGTAGCAGGAATGATTTGTGTTATACCTTAGTTACTGGACTGTTCTTATCTCAACCTGTGGGAGTTGCATTCTTTTGATTCTCCTTCCCATCCCTCCGGGAGCAGGTTGAAGAAAAGGAGGGGAGCGAGAGAGAGACTGCATGGCTGATTTATGGCTGACTGGGTTTAAACCACGACAAATAGGTTAATGCACAGAAAACTGAGGAAAGGAATAACATTGCACTATTTCTGCTCTTGTCCACAGGAGAAGATGATGACCTGTGTACTAATACACTCCTTCCTCCAGGTCTTAAGTCACACAACAGGATCTCCAAGCATGTGTCATTAGCAGTACCATGGATTTTATCACAGAACCCTAGAATAGTTTGGAAGGGAACTTAGAAGGTTCCTAGCCCAACTCTACCGAGAGCAGGGTTAGCTATGAGATCAGGTTACTCAGGGCTTTATCTTGTTAAGTCTAAAAAACATCCAAGGATGGAGACTGATGAACATCCCTAGGCAGCATGATCTGATGCTTGACTGTCTTAACAGTCATCAGATAGCCATAGAAACATTCAACATTAACATTAAACTCATGCAACACTTTGAAACCTGTGCACTCCAGTGGAACAGGAAATAGGCAATCTGATGTTTCGATCTCCATTTGTCCACTTAAAACTTCTAAATACACATGATTTACAGACTGTATCACGAAACTGTGATAAAACCTCCTATGAAGAGCATACATATTTGAACAAATAATTTCCCACTGTACAAACACCATATCCATGGTCAACTTGATGGCACAGTCATGAATAAAGTACTCAACCTATCAAGTAATCACACATAAAAACCAAATTGCCTAAAAACCTGCTGGAATGGCCTGTATTTCTGTATGCAAGGCTTTCTGAATTTTAAAAATAAAAGTGTCTCTTATGCAGATTTTATAAACTCAGCAAAATTGTATACCTGCACAGGCTTCCATAATCTTCTTCAGAGGTCCCCTAGTGTACATCAATCCAACAAGAATCCCTGCCAGATGCCCAGCAAAAGAAGCCCTGGAAAAAAGGAAAATCTTGTGAGTGATGGAAAAGAAAATTTTTTTTAAGGATCCAGAAAGGGGACTGCAGACCTTGTAACCAAGAAAGCCCTTAAGTGAGCCCAAGAACAGAGAAACGAGCTGCCTGAAAGGACATACTGCCCAGTTTCTTTTCTTCGTAGCTACCTTAAAATTGGCAGGTATAGATACAGTTACAGAAAAGTATCTAATAAATATCCAAAAGAAGCTAGAAACTAATTGGACAGATTTTTAAGTGCTTGTTTACAGAACACAATACTGTTTCCTAAAAACATTGAAAGACTTAAGGAGGTAGGAAATTAATTTTAATCTATAAAATCAAATTAAAGCATAAAATACAGTACTTTCTACTGCACTATCAGTACAAACCTACAATTAGTCATGGATCAGCATTAATGCAAATCCACTGCAATCTTTTTAACAGTGTTTTCAAAATTAAAAGAATGAGTGAAATGCTGAGATCCAAATTCTTTTCTATACATACAATTTCTTCAAAAAAAGATCAGTGCCATTTGCATTTAGAATGAAAGGGCTCTAGAGTCTTTTAAGAAATCAACATGGATGTGCATGTTCACAGTAAATAATTTGCTTCAAATACTTCCATGACTATAGGGTATTCTACAAATTCATAAACTAATTTTCACAGCATTCAAATTAAGAGTTAAACTCTTATGTTTAATCAGGTTTAAACATTAAGAGTAAAATCTTTTGAGCTTAACCAGATTTAAAGCTACTTATAAATTGTTCACCTTATGAAGTTAGAGAAGCCAATACACTAAACATTAAGATTTCCTTACATATGCAATTATAAATAACTCATTCACTAGATTTGTAATGTTTGTCCAAAGATTCAAGTAATATGAACTTTTTCTTTCTTTAATAAGAAGAAATAAATCCTCTGTTTGATGCAAAAATAGATTTAAACATTACGCTTTTTTACATTCTGGTCAGAAATCCACAAGAGTTACACAAGTGATGGCATAGGCACTCACTACAATACTTCCTGACATCACTGGTGTACAAGAAAGTGTCACTAGAGGGAGATGAAGATCAAATCTAAATTCAGTCTTTTGTCACCTACTTAATAACAAGCTTTTATTCTGTTACCTTGAGTTGCATTTCTCTCCTGCAAGTAAACAATGAATTTTTGTTTTAGAGTAACACATAAATGCTGATGTGAAAATCTATAGATAAGAGGTAGTTACCAAAATAAAATATCTATAAGGAACTCATTTTCCTAAGAGGTTTTTCTGAACAGATCTTCCAAATTTGTGAAAAATATACCCCTGACTTGGAAAATATCTGTACACAGAAAACATTAGGTATTTCAAGATGTCTTACTCTAAAAATCACCAACATGAGACTGGTTCACCTACATTCCTATGCTTATCTTGATTTATCTGAGCACAACACTGTTTCACAAAATCCAAACTCAAGGTCTTTGCTTGCAATGCAGTGAAGGTATATATTTACACAACATGAATAATCAAAAAACCTTCAACTTGAAATCTTTAGGGGGATGATTTCCACTTCATGTCTATTGAATAGGCTAGTGCACTAGACACCTAAACACTACTTACTGTTTAATTATAAATTATATTAAGGAGTAAAAACTTACAATGCAAATGTTTAAATAGGGTTTTCTAAATGAAAAATTAAAAAGCATTCTTCCAACTGTTTTGAGGATGGGTAAGGTTCCAAAAGACTGTAAGAGTGTTTCTATACCCATTCTTAAGCAGGGGACAAAATAGGTAAACAGATGAGAACTCTCATCAGAAAACTACAAACTAATGACTACCTTCTGCTCACAGGTAAAACTATTTGTTTGACACATACTAGGACACATAATTTATGGATGCAACCAAGGTAAAAACACCAGAAACAGAAAACAGTTTTGTGAAGAACCAATCATGTCAAATCAACCAAAATTCATCCTTTGAGAGGATAACAAGCCCCACGGAAAGGAAGAATTACCAGACATCACACATACTGTATAAATGCAGAACTGTCTTACTGCATTTGTCATAAAGAAAGCTTAAAAACTTCTAAAACTACACTATGCAGATGCCTAAGTGTTTGATAAGCCTAACTTAATATTTAAAAGTGACTCATCAAACTTTGGATATGAATCAACTGGATTTCTTTAAATATCTATTCCAGTTATTATTTACAAATGACAAGCTAAGAGTAGCTCTACGGGTCACTGGAGATGGCATTATAATTCACAGCAACCTGGACAAAATGAAGTAGTGGTTTGGAAAAAACAGCGTGCAAAGATAAATACAGTTCTGAACATACCACAGAAATCATCAACTATGCAAACAGGCTACAGGTGACTGATAGAAGACCTTCAGGATAGAACATGGGGCACACAGTAAAACACAGATCAACGTGCCATACCACTACAGGAAAGACATGTGTTTTACTGGAAAAATGGAGCACTATCTGAAAATAAAATGAAGCAGTTTTCTGCTTAGCAGTGGTCTCTACAATCACCAAAGTCTATTGAAGAATTATCTCACAGATAAAATAATCTTAAAATATGGAAAAGATTGTCACAAATAGGAAGGAATACACTCCTCATTCTCTATTCATAGGATAAGGACGAATGCACGTAAGTCACAGCAAGAGATTTAAAAACACATTGTTAGAGCAGACTGCCTCTGCTTCACAAAGGAAAATGAGAGGGCTACTAAGACCCTGCAAAGCACAGTCAGTTTATTAATGTGAAGATCTTGAAAAGTGCATTAAACATTGATAACTATAAATGATATTTGCATTACATATACACATTTGTCCTTCTGATGTTATAACTCAGAGCATGTATTCTGAGATTAGATTCATTCAGATCCTCTATATTCTCTTATTAAAAAAGTAGATTAGAATTGTTAAATTACATGACTGTTTTACACATGCAATTAATGTACTTCCATCCACGTGCCTTAGTCCAACGTAGATACTCTTATTTCTAGTGAAATTACATTTGAACAACTAATCCTGAATAATGTCACTCCTTTTGAAATTTTACTACATTTTACAGTGAATTTTTATTTTCGGTAGATTGTCCTTTTTGAAAATTTATGTAATGGATTGCTTGTCTACGAGGAGCTGCGAATTTTATCTTTATACATTAAAGTTAATGTCAAAACTACAACTTTTTTTTCCACAAGGCAGGATTATATGCAGAATTATATGCACAATTTAGAACTAAATGCCATGGATTTTGGCTGAAAATAAGTTAATAAACTATTTAAAAGGAATCACAAAAGTAGTGTGAAGAAGCCCTGTCCAAGCACTTATTACCAAAGCGCCTTTCACTTGTACTAAAATTTCCAATTTTCTTCCTTGTCTAAACCAGAAAACTGAGGTTACCCCTATTTTCTGCTTTCAGTAGCCAAACTTGGCTCTTAATTAAAATCTCTTATAATATCAATGATAAAGCAACCTCCATTATCAATTGGTTCCAAAATAGACTTTTTACACTATTCTTAATACTTTTATGTCTTGACAGCAATGTGTATTTTAGTGGGACTAATAAGAAACCATTCCCATGATTGCAACATGATAAACTACTGCCTTTTTTCCTGCTGGTTAATAAAGAAAAACTGACATTTTTTTTCCACAGCACCATTTTCAGTTTCCATAACATAAGCTGAATTTTGGGAATATAAGCAAGGTTCCTGACTACTCAAATTGCAATTTTTTTCCTCTAAATGTCAATGAGCTTGATCAATATTAACTACTGCTCTCCCTGGTACCAAGAAATTCAAATGATGTCTCATTTAACTTTTTGTTTGAAAATTTAGATATCCCCAGAGTTCTTATCTCAACCATTCACTTCATACTAATGATAATTATACAATATAAATACTGCTTCTTCAAGACATCTGCCATCAAGCTGATGTGTACATTACTTCAGAAAAATCTTCTAAACAAAATTACACTTTTTCATTCAACTGTATAATTTCCATTAAAAATGGTACCACTGGAGGGAAAACAGTTTCTACTACTTTTCATGTATGAGATATCCTGACACAATGTTTACAAGACTCTAGTAATTTTTATATTAATATTGTCCAGTATCCTTACAATTAATTCAAATCATTTCCTCACTGTTGGTGAATTTATCCAAAGTTGTTTCAATTCTGCGGTCTCAGTCACCTGACTCAACAAATTAAAACAGAACAAGAAAGTCTATACCTATCACTTACTTTCATAACTTCTTCCTAAGAGCAAACCCCAGTCTGGTAGGTATTATTATTATTTACTCATGCAATCCTACCACAAAACAAAGCCACATCTAGCAACAAAAGTATGTCTTTAGATTAGGCCATCACTACAGTCTTTTGTGAAAAGATCTTTCCATGCAATTCCTGTTCTAAGAGTAGGAAGCACACATTCACTGAGCAAGCAAACTAAGGGATAATATCAAAGTGACTACTGCCAACTTTATTTTTGAAAAACAGTATTTTTTGAGACCATGGGAATCAAATCCATGTATTTATACAGTTTATTTCCAAATTAACACAAGCAGACAATTGCATATGACAATTTAAGCACTTGACTAAAAAATTTAATCTTGCTTAGAAAGCAGGTCATGGAGTGCTAAGCAACCTACCTGAATGTAAATGAAACCAAATTAAATGATTGCATAAGTAAAAGTCAGCTTATTTTACACAGCCTTATGCAAGAAAATGCCATTACCACTTAAAATGGAAATGGAAACCTTGTTAATAATTTTGTAACACACTGAGAAAATTACATAGAAAAGTAAAAGCTAAGCTTGACAGAAGAATGAAAGGGTATAAAACAGTTCTTATCATATAATGCCATTCCTTGTCAAACCTGGGGTGGTTTTGGTTTTTTTTGACCAGTTGTTCTTAGCCCTTTTGTTCATGAGGAATAGTAATCATTAATAAACCCAATAATTAACAGTTCAACAGTAAATCTGACTGATAACCAGTGACAATTTAGTGATATCCTTAAGCATTAAACAAGTGAGAAGTTAAAAGAACAGATGAAATCAGAAGATAGATACATACAAAAGATCTCATAAGGTGAAGGTTATTAAAGCTATGCAACACATTTGTCAATATATGTTCTTACATTTTCAAATGTTATATAAATTAGTTTTTGTGGGATTTTGGGCTGTTGGTTTGGGGTTTGGAAATTTTCTTGGGGGGGATCTCTGCATTTGTATTACATTTACCTGCTTTGACTGTGATCTGAAAAAAAAAAAAAACCAAAAACAAACAAAAAAAAACACCACCAAACCAACATCCTCTACTCTTTTCCACTCCTAGCTTTCCACTCCCCCAAAATTTTCATCCTTAGTTGTGCTTAACTTTCTGAGTTTTGAAAAACCCGTACTGTCCAGCTTCCAAACCCCAAAGTGTCATCTTTATCAATCTGATAACTGTTTGAGTTAGTTCAGAAACTACCTCAAAGATAAGCTTTCCTTTTAACAGTAAGTATAGGTAGAGTACCTCCATGCAAAAGGAATAAATGACTTAAGATACCAAATGCCTAGTTCTGGAAGAAACAGAGATTAAATGTAACTTTTCACATGCCTGTTCTTCCATCAAAGAAATAATGCCAAGAATTGCCATACAACGCCTAGATCTCAATATCCTTACTTTATGGAAGGCAAAGATTAGAAGGATATTACACAGCTTTTAGATTTGCCCTAGAACTAAAACATCAACGAGAAAGAAAAGAACTAACAGATGCCAGTAAAAGCCTAAATCCTCTCGTAGCACACAAATCAAAGTTTTCAATAGCCTCAATATTACTCTTGAATCCTTCATTGGTTATGGATTCTCAGGTGATCGTGATGCATCATTCCACTAAGGCAGGTCCAAATACATTGCATGTCTTTCTGACAAGACAAATATCCTGCCTTAATTACTGACCTCTTATTTTTTCAAAACTAAATTATGCATCTACAAAGCAACACCATTTAATCAGACACTGCAAGTATTACCACATGCCCTGAGTGCACATGAGTGTGTAGGAGAAATGCTCCAAGAGCTACAATTATTATGGTTCATTTCAGGGCAGTTGGCAGGTAATAATTAAACACGCTGCGTTCTGGAACATGAATTTCTGGAGATAACTACTTGTCTTCTATGGCCCCCATAACAACCAAGACTGTATGCAACAGTGTAGTGGTTCTTTACACCATGCAGCCATGTAAGTTTCCACAAAACTACAAAAGTTCTTTGACATTATTTCTGGACTTCTATACACTTTTACAAAGACACTTCTGCAATAATGCAACTGAAAACACCAGCCAGCCACTAAACTCATGTTTTTCCTCTACCAGATATAGTACAATATGCTCATGGTTGTACTTTAGACATAATGCTCTTTCATTATTCTTTAATAATAAACAGTAATATTGAATATATCACCAAGCAAAAACTACATTAAGCTGATATGTCAGTTTATATTTTCTTAGATATTTTTAATACACTGAAAAATCTGGTTTATGTTTGTAGTAATGCCATGGAAGTGACTTCCCAGCTCACACTTAAAATTGCATGTGCAACAGAGCATTCTGCAGTTCTTCTGTGTTTTAGCATAGGATTACTTGCTGCAGTCAATCAGGCAGCAAGTCATAAAGGAATAAAACCAGTGCTTAACATAAGTAGTATTTTAATTCTCATTCTGGCCTAGGAAACGCTCTATCTGCTCTATCACACTATCTGACAAGGAGAATATCATTATTGCTCCCCCTCACCCTTTTTTTTTTTTTAACATCTTTCTGAAAAATGGAAAATTGTATATGAATTGCTATTTGGTAGTTTCCAAGTTTGGTGTCTGTACTTCACATATGTTCTCCAATGTGATGAACAGTTATTAAATATTATACAAGAAAATTACTGATTTGCAACTAGAACTCCATAAATCATCTGCCAATGAAGACAGTCGCTGCTCTCAAAGAGGTAGGCGCAGATGAACTGTGCTGGCAGCAATAAGGACACAGGAAAATTGAGGGAGATGATGAACAATGCTGCAGGACAGTGAAACCACTACAAGTTGCAGAATACTGGATGAGAGCATTACCAAAAATTAGAGGAGAGACTTCAAGCAACAGACTGAAGGGATAAGGACAGAAATAGCAAGCAAACAGCGGAATGCTGTTTTGCCAATGAAGCCCTTGGCATCACAGTGTATTAGTTTGGTTACTGTACTGAAAATGCATGTCACTTTTCCTTGTCCACCAATTTTTGTTATCTTCCTTCAAATACTTAGTAATACCTTCTTCTGGGCACAATATTTAAGTACCTTATTTTTAAATAAGCTTAAAATAGAGGATGTTTAGGAAAAAAATGCAGACTATAACCTTAACAGTTGATTTAGCCCCAATGCTCCATTTGGATATTAGCTAATACTACACATACTTCATAATGCATTTCAAAATACTTCAGATAGCCCAAATCTCTTCTCCTAACTTTGAAACATTAAATGCACTTACCCTGGGGAGATTAAGTGAATAGCCACCAGCTCCACCCAACAAGCATATTTACTGGATATCTGCAATCCAAGGACACTGCTGACTCTTCCGGGATTGTAATGGTTGTTAAGAACTTTCAAAGCAAACAAGACTCCTGCAAAATAGAAGAAATAATGTAACAAGTACTTATGCCCAAGTATTTATGCAAACAACTACTGAAACTGAAGAGCCATGTAGCTTCACAGACCACTAAGCACACTGTTGCATGCCTCAGCTACAGTTCTAAACTGTTTCTCCAGTGTACTTTTCAATAACTTAAACCCAAGGATAAAAATTATGTATTTGTATAACAGCCAATTCTAAGTTGCTATTTAATATGCCTATTTACTGTATATATTCAGGTATTCAAAACATGATTTTAAACATACAATATGAACATAATTTTCAAGTGGAAGTTCTAGTTGAAATAATTGACAAAGTTATTTGAACTCAAAAAAATATTCTGTGAGCTGAGAAAAGCCGTTATTGAGAACAAAACAAAGATACGCATGAAGCCCAAATTCTGAATGGAAAATCATCTTTTATAAAATCCAGAATCATTTGCTTCTGGGTAAAAAAAAAAAAAAAAGTAGATAAAATGCTTCTAATCACAATAATGATTATTTACTTCTCATTGACTGCAGCTGTTTTATCTGTTTTTTGCAAGCAATAGCTGGTATGACAGAATGAATTCATATAATTTACTTGAACTTTCAGGATGCTTTTAGAAAGTTCCTCTCAAGAGAAAGCTCACACATTTATCTGAAAAAGAAAAATCTGAAAAAATCTACAAGGAAACGATGACATGAAACAGACAGCAGAGTTGAACATCAATATAGATAGACTGAATAAACACATGAAGAAGGTTTCTTTCTCTTCCCTTCTAACACCAGAGAAAGCAAGGGTTAGCAAAATCCCTTAACTTACCCAGTGACAATATTGTTGCCATTCCAAATCAAATATAAATGAGAAAGCATGTATGCACACGGACATGCATGCGTGGCCACGAGTTTCTCGTAAGGCATGTGATGGGGACCCCATCTGGCCCACCAACAATATCTATCTGCCCTGCCTGCTAGTAGCACTGCTCTTCAGTATCTTAGTCCGTTTTGCCATAAAGCATGGGAAGCCGTAAACCTGCATCACCCGGATAATTGTAACACTAAATGTAACTTGTTTGAGGAAAGGGACATGTAAATTGTCATCTGGCTATGTGAGAAACTAATCTGGTGAAAAAAAAATAAATAAAAAATCTTAGAGTGAGATCTCAACACTACCCAATCACATAGCAGAGTACCTGCTTTTAATTAAAAACCAGGATAACTTTACTGGCATAACAACCAGATAAGTGTACACAAATGTACACCTATCCAGTTTCCGCATTCTAATATTGTTATATAGTACCTATATTTTACATATGTAAAATGGACCAATTATGTGCCTTACCTGAAAAACCTACAGCACAATTCATTTCATATGAAGGATCATCCAGAATTTTCGTGAGCATGAATTCCAATGCCATATAAACAACTCCAATCAGCACTGAAAATACTACAATTATGTACGCAAACCATGTGCTCTTAAGTTTTTTTTCCAGCATTATTCCCTTCCAAAGCATGGAAATCATGTTATAATATAAATGCCAATCATCTGCATGGTGGACAGGAGAAAGGAGTAAACGCTGCCAGTTCTTTCTGTAGAAGCCTTCATTTACACTGATACACACTTCGGGCAGTGGTCTCACAGGATTCAGAAAGAAAAAAATATTCAGTGCAAGTACCCCAAGGGTAACAGAAGGAATGTTCTGGAGTCCAACTTGAGAAATCTGATAAAGCAGCAAAAGCAGTCCAGCATTGACTCTTCCCTGCCTTCGTTGCATTATTACTTCTTATTCAAAGGAGTATGAAGATTACACCAATTTCTAGCCTGTTGTTTGAATCCAAAACCATACAAGTTTCAGAAATCCTGAAAGAAAGAAAACCATATCTGCTTTATTACACATACACAGCAGTGTTTTCAAGCTCATCACTGCCTTTTTTTTTTTTTTTAATTAAACACAGTGCATTCTTCAAGGTAATCAGCTGAGATTTATTTTTTTTAATCAGAACAAAAATTCAAATTAAAAAACCCACACAGCTTTTAACCTGGCATGAGACACAAATAAAAGGTATTTATAGAGATAATCCAGACAAGCACTGTGAGATAAAAAGCCTGTAACTTCTCCTTCATGTCCCTCGACAGGCTTTGCATCATCTATAAACCCCCTGGGTGTTATAAACATGTTCTTATTAATACCCTGATTCATTCAGAATTTTTTAATTTTTTGTAAAGAAAACAAAAATTCTCTGGGTTTTGGTTTTCAGGCTTTCTATCTTTGCTATGTGTAGAAACTATTTTATGACCATTTCTAAAACTTTCATAATATTCCATATGAGCCAAGAATGAAAATTAGAAGTCATAATTTCAACAAGTAACAGAGACACAGCTGTGCACTTCTAGATGTAAGCTTTGAAAATTCTTATTGCTCTCCTAGTGACTGTAATTCAAAGTTTAGTTTAAAAGTATGCAATGGAGAAAAAACTGAGGAGGATATCACGTACAAGAACAGCACATAAAACAGTCGTCCACTCAAACAGCACGTCCAGACAGTTACAGCAATATATTAATCTCCACCTTATTTATGCCAGATAAAACAGGATTAAAAAGGGCTATAAAAGTTCTAGATATACCTAAAAATAGGGTTACTATGACAGAAAATGAGAAAGGCCATCAAGCTAAACTGTGCAAGTCTATAAAGAGAAGAGGGAGAAGGCTGCATTGAAGAATACAGAGGCATGTCATGGAGTTTCTGGAGTGTGGAATCATCATCAGAAGACAGGAAGACACACTGAATTTCAAGTAGCTTTTGAGGACTACCCTCAACTTGGCCAGTGCTATTTTTAGTTCTCAAAACTTTCAAACATTGGGATACAGACTAATCAAGCTGGCTTGTTTAACTGCAGTGCATGTTTTGCATTCATGAATATCCTAGGCAACAGTGCTCATGGACAAGTCCACCCGTCTATCACAAGCCCATCTATTATGTTGCATCTTTTCCCTGATGGCTTGAGGTGCCACAGGCCCACTGTGCTAAAAATAATACACCCTTATGTTGCCAATTTAAGTCCATCTGAGCCACTTCAATCTTAGCAGCTTTATCCACCTGTTGGCTGTTCTGACATTCCTCAGTGGCCAGACTTGCATACATGGCCATCTACATGGTGTACCTTCACCACCAGGTTCTGTACCCGGGCAGCCCAGAAGGGTTTACCTCTGGGTTGCCAGTTACTCTGCTTCCACCCAGAGGCTGAGGACTTCTCTCCCTTTTCCAATCACCTTGTCAATGCCTCCTTCCCCAGAATGTGAACCCAGGTTCTTGGCTTCCCTACCCTCTAATTCCAGGCTATTGGCTTCATTAGCCCACATTTAAGATGAAGCAGCTGGGTGACAATGTGCTAAACTGCAACATGGGTGTGTTACCAACATTACTCTCAGACTGAAGCCAAAACACAGCACTGTACCAGCTACCAGGAAGAAAATTAACTCTATTTCAGCCAAAACCAAGAGTACGCTAAGTGAACACATGGAAAAGAAGGAAGTCACCTCTGAATGATGTTATCCTGTAACAACAAAAGGAACTATGAAACAAACACAAGGTTCAACAAAGATTCTAGAGGCTAGAGGTCATCTAGGCTAGAGGTCAGCCTACCTCCTCCACTTAATGTGAGAGAAGCATATACTTCCATGCTAGTTCACACACATAATTAATGCCACTTCTTAAAGTGTTATTCTAGTCTCTGGATTTCTCTCTAAATTGCATTTATGCTTACTATAGTACTTTACGAGAAAAAAAAGAAACGAAAAAAAAAGAAAAGGTAGCATTCTCAAAACAACTATAGATCAGAATACAAGTAAATGTACTTGCTACATTAAATGGAAATTCACTGTTGGGTTTTTTTTCCCCCACAGGGTCTGATCTCAGACCTATGTCACATAACACCTAAGTTGTGCCCAAAACAGAGTGGAAACAGCAGAAACACACTTTCTACCAGGCCTCTTGAGCACCTAGACAAGTCTAGAACTAACTAGACAGGTGCCTCTAAAACACAGTTTCTAATCCTCACACTTCAAATACAGAGACCAGAGCTGTAGTCCCTACAAATTTCAAATGAGTTAAAACCTCTTAAAGTATAAATTGATTGTTGCAGATGATATTCCCTGCCCATGGCAGGGGGCTTGGAACTAAATGATCTTAAGGTACTTTCCAACCCTAACATTCTACAATTCTATGATTAACATTGTCAGCCTTTGACTTTTTAATATCAATGTTACAAAAAAGAAGTACTTATTAAAAAAATTTAATCAATATCTTTCTCTTCTTCCATACTACATGCTCTGATACCAGGTACATGACACCATGTCCCCGAAGTCTTGCACGCATCTGCCCAAACCTCTGACTTTTCTTGTACCACTGACAGAATTACATTTTTTTCACCGCAAAACTGGTGACATAAAAAACTGTTAGAATTTAAAATTCTACAGCATTTAAAGTTATGTGGAAACACCAAACTCTCACCATAGAATCCCAAGAGTTGGAAGGGACCTCGAGAGATCATCTGGTCCAACCCCCCTGCAAGAGCAGGGTAACCTAGAGTACATCACACAGGAACTTGTCCAGGTGGGCCTTGAATATCTCCAATGTGGGAGCCTCCACAACCCCCCTGGGCAACCTGTTCCAGTACTCTGTCACTCTCACAGTAACACATTGTTCAACTTGCCAACTACAGTCTTACTTAACACTTCCACCCCTGCTTTTGATACTCTTTAATTTCCAATTTTACTACTTTTTACATATATGCACCTAGGGAAAGAAACTCATATGCAGCATATATCCGTAAAATAACCATGTAACATGACTGGGAATGGCTTACACCAGGCTTACAGTAATGGTATGTATTATAAATCATTCCCATTATTGGGAGAAATCAAAAATGTCAGCTAAGATACATTATGCGTGTGATTATAAAGGAAAGATATAAGAAAGAAAACAGTAGTTATTGTAGAGCCTTCTGGAATGCAATTCCAAATATATAGAGCTTTCAATTGTTTGAACATTCTTCCTCAGCCTGTACTTTGTTTATTAGAAGTCCAATGAGGCTTAAAATAATGAAGCACTTATTCCTTTTCCTTTTTTGAAAACGTGCCACCCACTTCAAGCTGTACAAATTTCCAGAACAGACTTGAAATGGCCATTTGTCTCGCATCTAGACTGCCACGTGTCTGCATTCTTGTCACCTACTCAAGATAAATGTCTGAACTAAACATCCTCAGAATTTGTTTGCTTTTGTACTAATCAAGTGCAAAACATTTAAACTTTTATTTTTACTGTGACAAGCCCCCTTGCTCACTTGGCAACCATAAAATATTATGATTTCATATTATGGAAAATTCATGTAATAAATACTTCAGTAAATACCACTTGAAATTAAATGTTATACTGTCTTTTCCTATAGCTGTAATAAGTTTAAAAATCTCCTTGTATCCTTGCTCTGCTCAAAATGGACAGAGCTACCCTGAAATTTTGATTGATGTCTGTGAATCAAGATCTAGCACACCACCCTCCTCCTAAGACAAAAATAATAGTCATACTGTGACTTAAGCCTAGTTTTTACTGAGATTTTTTTATGACCAAATGGAAACATTTAATGTCTCATGTCCACCAAGGGCATGAACGCAGCTGTGATGTACAGATGCTGCTGTTATCTGCATCGCACATCCTCATTTTGACATCTGTCATCAACCTTCCTTTCCTTTAGAAAGGCTTGCTTCTCATTGCTTTACAAAAATGATTTGTAACGGAGGCCCTTTAGCATTGTATAACTCCTCACTGACAAAAAAATAAAAAAAAATAATAAAAAATTCCAGGGTTACTCTTTCAGTTTGGATGAGGAATATGCCAATATGATTTTGAAGTGCATTTCTTCGTTGCCCCCACTGACTTCACCATGGGTGAAATTGGAATGGCCTTAGTGTCTCTTCTCAGGTTAAACTAATCAGATGTATTCCAGAAAAGAATGCAGTGCGCTCCAGAAAAAAAAAATGGGCATTCAGCCTCATGCCCAGACTAGAACTAGACCAACGTAATAAAAACATTTGAAACATCTCAATATCAGATCTTGAGAACAAACCACTTCACACCACAGATAAAACTTAAGATGCCCACACTGCTCATCTATAAAGATTAAGTCTCAGGGTATGAAGACTTATCCAAGTCAAGGTATGAAGACTTACCCAAGTCAAGACTGAAACAGAAAAAGGGCAAAAGAGTGCTACAAAGAAAGCAGAAGCAAACTGTGACCCTTTTTACCATTAAATGAAATGTTATACTGTCTTTTCCTATAGGTGTAACAGAAGCAAACTGCGACCCTTTTACCATCGCTCTCAAACTCTGGAAAAGGGAGGGGAAGGAAAGCATAACAAAGAGAAAAAGTTAGAAAAAGGCAAGAAAAAAAATTGAAACATAATGAATCATCCTGCTTATATTAATCTGTATTCAAGGACCAGGTCAAACTCAAGCTGTCAGTTATAATAAGCGTTGAAACATACAGACAATCACACAGTTCATAACAAAAGACAAGGTTCTGACATAATTATAAAATTAATTACTTTATAACGAGTGACTTCAGGATTAATCAAACATGCCTTTAAAGGGCATAATGCACTTTCATTCACAAAGGAATGTTGAACTTGAAACTGAAAAAAAATCCCCATGTTTCAGAATTTGGTATGAAAAGTCACACAAGCGTAATACAAACTTAAAAAAAAAATTAAGTCAGTAACTACCCTGCTGAAAGGAAACAAAACAAAGTTAAATATCAACAGAAAATGACTGGAAAAAAGGCTAGGTCAAAGTATTTATTTTTTTTTATTATGCCACATTTTAAGTGTTCTTCAAAGTTTTCTGTGAGAATAAGGAAGTTCTGTTTCTTTGGTATGCTTCAGCATGAAAACTGAAAAGAGGCTTAAAGAACTACAAAACATTAAGTACTATGAAAAAGAAGCCCTTAAGAAAACAAGCTTTTAAGCTAACAACTTCAACTTAAAACTGAATTGTGTTCTGAAGGGTGTGGTAATTACTATTCAGAATAAAATACATATATGTTAATTTATACTAAGAATACTTTTGGACACCTTATCTCAAAACAAACAGGATAGCTTCTGCAGGAAAGAACAGAAAGGACTAGGTCAAATCTCATACTCTGCAACACATCTTGAGCATGAGGCACTAACCATTTAAGGTTTTAATTGCCTTATTAGTTTGACTACTGCTATTTGAACAAAAAATACTTAATGGCTGCAACCTGTACATCCTTTAGTTAAAATACAGTTATTTAAATTATTTCATTATAATACTTAACTTGCCATACCACCAGAAGCCCTGTCAATCTTGGACTTGTGTTTTCTTTCACAAAAGAGAAATCAGTTTCCTTTATATGCTTATCATATATTTAAATTTAATTATGATCAATATACAAATCTGAACATCAGAATGAGCACCCACTGGACTGTAAGGCTTACCGTCATAAAGAGCAGTTATATTCTCTGTCATAATTTGAGACTACTAACATGATCACTAAAATGTCCTTAATACAACTATACGTTATCCACCTGCTTCATTTCCTACATGGCATCCACTTCTAATTCAAAGTCTTTAAATTCTTCAGTTGACTACAATGACACTGTAGTCAGCAGGCCACACCTCCTTATGCCATGCAAGGACATAGCACTTAGAACCAACAAGCTTTCTTAGGCCACCACTCTCAGAGAGATATAAATTTGAAAGCTTTAAATCCAGCACTCGGTCTGATTGCCCAAACAGTCCTCAAGTTCTAAGAAGCTATTACCCTACCATGTACAAGTAGAATCACCTGCACAATTTCTCTGTCAGAACTTCCCTTGAAGCCAACAAATTTGACTGAGCATGGACTAGAAGACATTGTAGAAATTACATTACACTACTGAAAAAACAGCTTGACCCCCAGGCTGATACAACACGTTACAGGAAATTTACAGTAGCTAGAAACTGAACAAAACCAATGAACCCTAGTTGCAATAAGAAATGGTAGAACTTAAATAAAAGGTAAAAAAAGTACTGTAGCAGAAAAATTATTTCATGTAACAAAGTCTTCAAAACCTCTTCAGTTTGTGAAAATTCAGATCAACTATTACAATCCAGAAAATTATTGAAAACATATTCATTATGTGCCTAATTTACCACTAAACTCATTCCTTCCTGATCTTTCAGTTTCCCCATTACCTTCAGTAGGCAATCACTGTGGTTTATTCACGTGCCTCAAAACCAAGGCCTAATCTATGGCAAGAAGGATTTATTTGTAATGCATAAAGTAGCAATACGTGTTTCAATTTTGTCCTGGGTTCAGCTATAGCAGTCATTTTTCTCATTCTTAATAGTTGGTGCAGTGCTGTATTTTTGACTTTCAGCCTGGGAACAACACTAATAACACTGATATTTTTAGTTGTTGCTAAGTAATGTTTACTCTGACCAAGCACTTTCTCAGTCTTGTGCTTTGCCAGGGAGGCAGGAAAGCAGAGAGGAAGCAGGGACAGGACACCTGACCCAGACTAGCCAAAGGGTATTTCATATCACAGCACATCATGCCCAGTATATAAACTGAGGGCAGTTACCCGGAAGGCCCAGATTGCTGCTCAGGTAAAGCTGGGTATCAGTCAGCGGGTGGTGAGCAGTTGTATTCAGCTGCATGGTTGAGTTACTCGCTGAGCTTAAACCACAACAAGTTTTTCCTCCACTGAAAAACAACCACAAAAAAAGAAGTCTGTGGCTCCATACAGGAGCCACAATAGCAATGTCAGGGGCTTGGGTTTAGGGTTTTTTTTTTATTAGAAAACCTAAAAGCAATCCAGAGATAGTTTACCTCTAAATTTATATGCCACATATAATCAGATAAAGCACTTTTGACCAAGACAGAAAAAATGCATGTATCAAAAGTTAATTTCTTTCTTTGAAGCTTCAGCTATTGCTGAAGCTCTGTAGTCAGTCACAATTACTTTATCATAATAGTTTGAGGAGAGATAATGGACTTCCCTCTCCAGTTCTGTGGAAGGAAAAAGACATGTAAAGGTTTCATATATATTTTTACTATCCACATCTCATACTAATTAGTAACTACCTCTCAAAAAAATAAGACACATTTACACATAATTCAAACTGGAGAATTAAAATAATAATTATTTATAATTACATCACAGTTTAAGATAACAAAAATACATCAGAAAAACAGTGGACTTCAGACAAGGCCACAGTCAGAATTTTAACTTCACAGATGTTCAACTACTTTAATTAGGGTCAGAAGTGAGGGGATTTTTATTTTTTTCTTAACTTGATTGCAGTACTTGCACTTGTATAACCCTAAAACTGGGTATTTAAACCAGAAGAGCATCCTCAATTATACCAAGAATTTTGTGATATAATTAAAAAAACCAATGCTTCCCTGACTCCACTTCAGAAGTGTTAAGCACAAGGGCTCTTACAAATTAAGCATTCCTTAGTTTGTGTTGCTTTGAGTGAAAATTTGGCTGCAATTTGTAGGAGAATGGAAGGACAGGAAGCTTACTTTCTAATTAAATGCTTTTCAAATAATATTGGTTAAATACAGAAGCAATTCACAAATACATACTCTCGAGTGTTCCTTTTAGTTTTTGTGAAGACCTCAAATCTTTTGTAATTAACAAAACACAACTCCAGGGAGATCACTGCACGATCTCAGGAAACTGAACCGACACCACTATTATTTAAATACAATTTACAAACACTTGCTTTACTTAAACTCAGTATTTACACAAGCACAAGAAAGCTTACCAAATATAGGTTAAGTACATTTGACACTGCTGTTCCTTTTATACAGTTATTTACAGGTTTGGATTCGGTCTTTCAACCATCCTATCACTCTAACAAGGAAAGAAAGCCATATCATTCTGGAGGATTTCTTTTTCAATTTATTATTTACACAAACTGTAAAAAATACTCTGTAGGGAAACGTAGTAAATAAAAGTTGAAGCCACCCAACTGCCAGGAGCAGCAGTGTGTATTAAGGCGTCGCTGCATTTAAAATTAATTTGCTGCAGCTGACTGATAAGACAATCGTATCTCGGTGTTGGAACCTGGGCACCAGCATTGCCACATCTCTGCCGGTTTTAACCCTCACCTTTTTCAGGCACTGCTTCCTTCTACCGTCTCAAAAGCATTGGCAAGAGCAGAGTTCTACAGAAAAGGGGAAGAGAGGGGATGGCAGGGGGCAATGCTAAGGGCTGTTAAAAAGTGAAACACTAGATATTTTGCGATTTCTGAAACTCACTTTGCTATTCCAAACACCCATAAACTTCACTTCGCCCCTCTGCTTTCAGCGGCGGGGAACGAGCTAAGCTCGGAGAAGAGAAACTTACTAAAAGCCAGCTCCGGAGAACCAAAGGCTTCAGGGAAAGCCTACCACAGCCCAGGCACCTCTGAAGTGCGTTTTGTCTGGGACCGCCAGGCACCCTCCGGGCACAAGCGAGCGGCGGCTCGCCGGACACGACACCCAGACCCGGACCTCGCCTCACGGCCGGCTCCCACCCTGCGCCGCGGAGGAGCGGAACCCACAGGCCAGAGACCTCGCAATGCCACGACAGCCGCCGCCAAAGCCCTTCCGAGCCGCCCCGGGGCGGGATGAGGGAGCAAGGGGCCACGCCCTCCGAGAGGCGGTGGCGGAGTACTTCGGAGCTGACTGCCGATGGCTGATGGCTGCCGCCAACCCAGCTCCGAGCGACAGCGGCACCAACCGCTCCAGCGGTAACGCGCACGCCCCCTCCCCGCCTCAGCACTCACGTTCTTCGGCCGCGGAGCAGCAACAGCAGCAGCCCAGGGCCCCCGCGCCGCACCACGTGACAACGCCAACCACTCAGCGGCGGGGGAGGTGGCTCCTTGAATTTGCCTCCTGTGCGTGTGCGCACGGAGGCGGCTGGGCGGGCTGTGGTACTGTAGGGAGCTCAGTGATAATGCAGAGCAGCGGGGCCTAGTGTGGCCTAATGATGCAAAGCCCGTTGATTAGTCATGCAGCGTTCTCCCCAGGCGCTGAGGTATTCACTCGGGAGCGGGACAGCGCCTCCTGTTAGCTTTATGTGCACTGGAGGCAAGGGAGGCGGTGGTGTGGGTAACGCAAATAGGGGAAGATGGGGTGTCTAAGGGTAGTGAGCGGGCTGCTTTTTAAGTAAAATGTTCAGTGAATACGTTCTGGTAAAATACCGGCTCCATGTGATAAAAGCACCTTTTACCTTCTCACCTGGAAAGCTTTGAATTGTGTTTATTTTAGAAACATCTGCGAAAATATCGGTTACTGGTGCTACTTCTCATTAACATGCATAATTAGGTTCCTTTTGAAAACGTCTTAGGACCTATGCATAACAGTAACTAGTTCCATAAGTTAAATCGTTCACTAAGGGTAATTAGAAGAACACATTAGTTTCACTTGTGTGGAATGCTAGTCACCGGTGTTAAGTATTATTCCCCAAATTTTATATAGGTATCTAGAGTGTGAACTTTGTTAGTAATATTCAGTAGGGAACATAGAGAAAATCATAAATGCCTAAAATAATAGGTTATCATAGACATATTGGCAAGCTGATGATGCAAATATGCGACTAAAAATGAATCATACAAAATCCATAGCAGAAGCTACATGTAAAATGCCCTATTTGCCATCATTTATGTGGCACTTAGGTTTCATAGAACACTTTGGCAATTCATACAAGTATGTCATAGAATTTATTAGAAAATTGTATTCTGCTCTTCCAAAAACAGCACGCAGCTCAGCAGACTGGCAGGCATGAAAGGGGCTGAATTCCTAGAAACAGGGTGGAGATCAACCTAAAGGAGCAGACTTTGCCAAAGAAAGCAACTTCAGCATAGTGCTCTCTTCCAAGAGCTAGCAGAAGCTGAAAGAGGAGGGCAGGTTCAGTATGTGCCACCATTTAGATACACTGTGTCAAGCTCCTTAATTTTGGCACATTCTGATCTGTTACCTCAATGCTACTCCTTGTAATTCATAGAAAACACAAGGTGTGGGAGTTACAAATGTGTAGGCTTACTGATTCTCTACCACACACCACGTTTTGTACAATTGGCACCATTTTCTGTAGTAGTGTACTCCATTTTCATGCAGTCATAATTCCAGTCCATAATTCCTAAAGATGCCATATTTATTACCTGAGTGCAGGACTAGATCTTATTACTGGATGTACAAGTCCTGAAATTGTGGTTCTCGTCTGCAACCTAGAAGATCTGGATTTTATTCCTAGTTCACAACCTGAGCAATCATTTGTTAATATTCCATATTTTCAGGTATTTACTGGTAATGACAGGGGTAACAGAAGTCACAGGCAGAGTGGGAATCTAAGTAAATGAGTGTTCAGGTAAGACAACGTCCCTTTCCATTCAGGTAGCTATTAACAATACAGGTTCTGCTTCCTAAGTATGGTATGCCTGGTTAGTAAGAGAATTCAATACTTGGAAAGAAAATAAGGAAGAAATAAACAAAAACATCATTTTCATAATCCATGTACACTTAGCACAGGAGTGACGCATACAGTTAGCACTGCTTACGCCTTACTGCTAACTATATAATCCATGTAAATATTTATAATACAGCTATTATCAGTGTAAACATACAGCTTAGTCACATGTTGACCCCTAACGAAAAAGTGACATTGAGATCTTTCCTTCGCACAAGGTTTAAGCAGGTTTTAGGAGCTGTTGAGCAGGTCTCAGAACACTCATTTTTATGAGATATATACTGAGGCTTTTTGACATGAAATAATTGGGAAGAAACAGCCTGCCATGGAATGCATAGATGCAAATTAAATCCATATCTGAAGGATGTTGTTTTAATTAATGCTGGGAATCTGACACCAGCATATTTGAAACACTGTTTATGTTAATCTTGAAGGAACTAGTTATGACTAGCCTACAAACGTGAGAATGTCAAAGCATGGTTATAGTAAAGGAACTGAACCAAGAGAAGCAGTAACCCAGAATTTGATACATAGAATATTAGGAGTCTGTAATAAAATTAACAAAGTACAGATGATTAAAGAAGCAGTTTAAACATGTTATGAGTTTATACACAGCTATTGTACCACTGCTACCATTCCGGTTCTGAAAGCAGCACAATGCTTTGGAAACTGTGGAGGCAAGCCCTTCTGAGAAATACATACAGAAAAAAGATCTGATAACAAATGTTTTGTATGAATTCGGGGCTTACTCTTTTGGAGTCTTTGATCTGACATTAACTTTGTATTTGTTATGTAGCCCACCCATACTAATTTTCCCTTAGTGTTGCACTTTCTCCAGTTCAGCATCACCAACACTGTAACTTCATAATACAACATGGAAAAATGGAGTGAAAAATGTAGATGCTTTCTCTCCAGCTTGTGGAGATAAAAAGGAACATATCCTGGAGGTTCTTAATCTGTTTGTGTAGTCTGCCAGAAGGAATAGAATAAATGTCTGGTGGAAAATAAAAGACGGCATTGGTTTGAACGTCAGCTGGAAGAAACAGACTAAAAACAACAAGGATTCATACCACAGCCAATGGGGTGTTTGATCTTCTAGTCACCTCCTGCTTATCCAGATACTTCCACATTGTGTTGAGAGACTTCAGTTAAACCAAAGCATTTTCATGCTCAAAAGCCTAAACTGTTGTATGTGACCAGAAGCAAAGAGAGTAGACCAAAAGGCAAGGTTAAGGAAATGAATGTGTGAATTATGCCAAGAAAATGGTACCAGGCAATCCCTCTACACAGCTAAAGAGCTTTCTAAAAAAAGGTATCAAAATCAAAGAAAGTATAATATGAGATCACAGGTGAAAACAAACTATAATGTAAAACTTTATTGATTATGGAATAACAAGAGGGTAACCTGCTATCACCTAAAATTGATTTTAAAACATGTATATGCAAACAGTTATCTTTATTTTGCTTGACCACAAAAATGATAAATAATTATTACTGCAACAGTCTAAAAGTTGTTAACCATAATAATGCTATAGGTAGAAAACATTCTGTGGAATACAGTTCTTTTTTCAGTGGCAATATAATTTACATCTCATCATTCACAGTTTATATAAAACATGAAGTTTAAGTATATTCTGTTGCTGGCACAGAATTTTTGTTAATACTGTAGCTGTGAAAATGTTGTGATTATTTCCCAATTCCATAAAGCACTCACACAATATTTTCCTTTATGGAAACATGGGATTTGATCCAATTTTTAATGAAATTTTAACTGCTTTATCACAAGGTTGTATCAGTAGTCTGGTGACATCTTTATGTGCTCCACTGGCCTGCAGGATGCCAGGAAAGTGGAAGCAGTGTTCTCTCCCAAGGAGATGAGCATTGATCTATAGCACTCCGAGGCTGCCAGCTCTCAAAGTAGTGCTAAACCAGAGGCAATACTGGATGGCTTTATCTGGCACTCCATGCAAAGGATTTGTAAAAGATGGTAAAAGAATTTCTCTAGAAATTACATTAAGTCCCTTTTGGGAAGTCTTACTCTGTATTTTCTCATGAATATAAGAGTAGAATCCAGGTTCTGCATGTTACTGCCTTTTTATGCTAACATTGGTTCTGAAACTTACATGCTCCCTAGCCCAACTCATGTCCCCTGCAGAGAAGTTGAGAGGCAGGGGTGGGGAAGCTGTTGGAAGAGGAAGATGCCAGTGGAAGTGGTTCTAACATTTTACTTCATGATTCAGTCTTTTTGTTTTTGTACAATAAAAAAAGCCGTATTTCCCTTGGAAGTTGAAATCCCAGAAGCAGTGAGGAAGCATAGTATGTCATAATATTGGGATTGATTCTTCAGTTTGGGGTTTTGATGTTTTTAACTTAATGGACTTTCTGAAGTTGTCTTTAACATCCTACATTTTATTTAACAAAACTAAGCCTAACAACCACATCTCTCGTGGCTGTGTGTTAATTGCCCTGATCAGCCTCACCTGGGCTCCCTACCCACACCTCTGCCCTTGGGCCCAGGAGCCCCATTTAAGGTCAGCCCCAAAACTTGGTTTCTTTCTTACATAGGCTTGTAGCAGCATTGGTCTTTAACTATCATTGCCTTGTTCTGGCTATATGGCCTGCTCAGCTGAGCTGATCCTGATCTCCCAGACTTGCCCCCAGCCTGCCTTATTACTGTGGGCTGCCTGTGATTTGGGCTCTTTGTTGAACCTAGCTGCCACTCCTAGGCTTTCCATATCCCTTGCTTGGGTACCTTGGGGCTGGGCACCCTTCACCTAGGTTGTCCCAGAGAAGGAAAGAAGCAATTATGATATTTAAGGCAGTAAATCTGGAAGTGGCAGTTCAAAGCTGGTAAGCTCTATCAAAGATGTATTATTATTATTGGTTCTGTTTTTAAAGCATTCAGTAGCAATTACAAAGCTGCAGAAAAAAGACAAGTAAATTAAGCGCAGATTAAACTATCTTTTGAAGCATTTAAGCATTTTTAGCATAGAAAATAATGCATGAATTTTAATGAAATTAAGTAAAAATACTGAATATCACCAAATATGGGATCTTGTATTTTGTAGATGGGTGTTGCTCATGTTCAGCTCGGCAGAAATTTCACTCTAACCTGGCAACATAGCTTTCTGGCAAATATATTTTATTTAATCAGCTAGTATAGATGGGAAGAGGAGACAAGCTTTCAGGTGCACAATGATTTATTTATTCAGATCTGAAATAGAAGCACTGCACTTACAAGTTTAATAAAAATGGAGGGCCTTTTCTCTTGGTTACCTTTAGAGCATACTGGAAGTAGCAGCTGACTGGAAATGACTGGTCTGTCTGCTGGAGATGATGCTTTCTTTTGTGTGTGTGTGTAGGAAATAAAGCATCAGTTAGCTTGGTTTCAAATGCCAAGTCTCATCCCTGTTTTTGTGGTAGGGTCCCTGTAGCTGTAATGGTTTCCTCAGGACAAAGGCAGAAGTGTGTAGACAGACGTAGTACTGCCTGTCGGTGGGACCAATAAATGCAGATGGAAGCTCTCCTCCAGACTTGGGATAGTAGTGGGAGATGCCTCATTATACTTCTGTGACTGCCTCTTGCAACACACAACTGAGGCCTTGAAATGGTCTGTCATAGCGCAGACAGCTGCAACAGGTTGAAGTCCTACCGCTCTGGTTTATTTTCTGCTCTGCTGAAGATGATTGCCTGTCAATCCTCTGCTGATAGAGCTTTCTAATCTTCATTAAACAAAATCACAAGGTGCTTGGGATCAGATAGGGGCTGTCTCCAGGGGTTGGGTGTGGCTGGAGCAGGCAAGATTCACATCATCCTCTGCATGTGCTGAGAGGAGGCAGTTTAGCTCCCAGCTAGGACAAGTAATAAAGCCCCTGGCTTTCTTGTCCCCACAAGCCATCTCCACAGCAGGGAATCTCACACTTCAAAGGCTACCTGTGGAACAAAGCAGAGGTTGGAGCAGAAGGCTTTTGATTGGCATAGAATGCAGACCAACAAGGGTATAAAGGCAGTGCTTAGCCATCTGCATGGGTGTTTATGCAAACTTTCTAGGACTTGTTCAGGTTTCTGGGGATCTTCCAGCATTCTATGTAGAAGGGCAAGTTTTTCAGCCGTTAGTGAGAGGAGCCCTCTCACTCCCAGAGTCAAAGAATTCCCATGGGGATTGCCCTGGGGATCTCTTACTCCTCTCCCAAAAGCTTGTGAGAGTCTATTTGTAGCTTTTTCTTTCAGCAGCTGAATAATACATATTTCTGCTACCTCACACATTTATTTTTATTATTCATTATGTGTTTTAATTTTGATCTGTGTCCAATGTGTTTGAGAAATATATTTCTTAATTACTGTCCTTATTCTCTTTACTGACTTTTCATCTGTAAAATAATGGTCTCTGGCAGTTTTTGGCATTGCAGATTACCTAGATCAGTTACAACGAGGTGACTCACAGTTCTGTGGAGATTTCGGGCAGGCCTTGTTTGATTAATGATCTATTATTCTTGAGATAAACATATGCTGGATTTTGCCCAAGGGCTACAGAGTGGACACTAGGGAATTTAGTGGGAGAAACCTGTACTTGAAATGACTTCTCTTTCAAATCTGTTTATTTAATGATTGCTTGCTTGAAAGTAATAGCACAGATAAGGAAGAAAAGCCAGTCAAAACTGTAAAGGGAAGTCAACTCATTAGAATTGTTTTTTATCCTTTTTGAATATAAAAGCCAGTTCTCAGAGTAAAGATTATATGGCAGACCCTATAGTGGGCCAAGTTCCTGAGGTAGGTGGAAGCTCACAGAATGTTAGCTTGTATCTGCCTGGGGCCTTTCAGAAGTGACATTTGTGATATCGGGGCCTTGGCAGTGAGCAGTAGTCCCCTTTTTGCCCCTGCCAGAGCTGCTTCCCTCAGTGATGACTGGCATATCCATGTTGATATTTATCACCAACCACATAGGAGCATGTTTTAGCTGATTTCCTGGAAAACTAGTGTGGCAGTTTTACCTGCATGCTGGCCTCCCCCAGTAACTTCTGAATCAATTCCCCAGTTTCAGTCTCATCTGCCAAGTAGTGTGGATTGCTCATGAGCTGTAGCTCCACCACTTCCTGAAGCTGCCACTCATAGTCAGCCTCTCTGTTGAGGTAAGCTTCTCTGTGCCATGTGATGGGAATGGCCAATGGTGCACATGCAAATCCTGGAGACACGGCAGAAGATAACAGTTTGTTTAACAGGCTTGTCCATCACTTTTTTTAGTCATGCCCTCTTGTCAGCTGGGGGGCTGAACATTGGTGGATTTGTGAGTAAGCTCACATAGTTTTACTGCCCATTCCAAATAGTGGTTCTTTTCCAAACAGCTGGTCAAACAGAGATGGGTAGGAGACTTTACAGAGACTTGAAGCCATTGGGTTGGAAATGGGAAGCAGTGAGGGAAAGGGATGAACAAGCAGTGCATAGGGAGCATGCCAGGGAGCTGACAGTATTGTGATTGAACCTGATATTCAGAACTGACAAATCAAGGTTAATTTTTGGCTATTCATGACTCCTACATTTATTTAATAAGTTGGGCACCTTTTTTGATGCATCATTGGGGGAGGGGTGTTGAAATAACTTAGCAAAAAAATTTACCAAGTATATAATCTATGCAGTATTTGGGTGCTTCTGTCTGTGTATCAGAGAAGTGTTTCTCTGAAGGAATCATATGTGATTCTGCAAATCCCAGGTTCATTTGCAGAAGGAGAAGAATAAGTGGATGTGTGCACAGAAAAGTCAATATACTGAAATGAAGAAAGCAACAGAAGACAAAACACAAGATGTGTGTTTTTAGAGGATCTGTCAATCTCAAGTAATAACAAATAAGTAAACAGAACCCTTTTAATTTGTGCAAGTTAATCCTTTTCAGGGCTGAATTAACTAAAGCATATCCCTATGAAATAACCTTCATTATATGAATCAGTGTGCTGATGGATTACTGAGTTTGCAGCCAAAAAACTGCACCATCATAGATGTGAAGTTTCCTGATCATCTAATAAATTGATAACTTTGAAGCCTAGTTGTGACAATTTAAATGTCATCACTATTAAACAAGTTGCCAAAATGCAAACAGCTATCCTAAGTCATTAAAATGTATTTATAAAGGACAGCTGGGCTGTGGGGACTCATAATGGGGAAAAATATGAAAGTTTCACACAAGCAGAATGAGACTGCTCTATGTGCCAACAAAAGCCTGCATGGGCAAGGGAAACGTATTTTATATGTACAGTTACTGATGCTTATAGAAGGCTTGTGTTATTGAGCTGGACATAGGACATAGGAGTCAGTGACAGAATGACATCCAGCAGATGCCTTCATCTTTTTTCTGCCGTATATGAAAAGTCCTTTTGCTTATTAACAGGGTAGACTTTGCTAATGAGAGGTAGGTAGACTGGGTAGCAGTTACAGTCTAGCAGAAGTTACTATGAAGTGGGACTACATTTGCTCTATTGCGGAATGGCAGCACAGGTGGAGTAATACCTGTTTTGAGAACCAGGTGGACTTTAAATGATAATGAAGGTTTGCTTTTTGGTTGAGAGTAATAAAGAGAAAAGCAACTAAAAGGCTTGGCAGGCATGGATTGATGTGTTTATGAAAGCTGTGTTTAGTCATGTTGATAATTAAGTTATTGAACTTTCTGTTTATTATTTGATTGTTACTTATTTGGTATTTTGAAACTGCCATGATATGGACAAGTGCAGTCCCTGCTCAGGGCTTGCAGCTTGAAGAGCTTGTATAGCTCCAAATTCATATTGGTTTCTGCTACATCCCAGTAGGTTCTGTCTGTTGTTCAGCAGTGCAGTAAGTAGTTGATTAGATTTACTGCTGATACATACAGCGGAAATCGTGGAATAAACTAGAACTGTGATACCGCTTCATTAAAATAGTAACCCCAATAGGTCCCACAGTCTTCTGGTGTATTATTTATATGTATTATAGAGCTACAACAGCTGCTAGCTTCCATAGTTAAGCTCCATTTTCCCTAAATGTGGCAGGAGGGATGAAATAAGTGGGAATTGCTGATAATTGGTAAAATTCTAAAAGAAATATCTTTTATGTTGTGTATCTTGATGCTTTTAAAATATACATTTTAAAAACATGTATGAGTGTTAGCATATTATTTGAAAGGTTTTTTTGTTTTACATCAGCCTATAGCACATCATTCTCAAAGAAGTATGTTGCAAACAATTCCCAGATGTGTTGTAACTGATCAGTATTCCTGAAATATTTGGGTATCAAATTTTCCATGTATCATTTTCTACTAAGAAGTAAATTCGTGTGGTGCCTTGGGGCATTAATTGTGCTGAAAACCTTGTTCATTTATTCTTACTAAAAGTGTGCTATTGCATATGGGTGTTCACAAATCATTAATTTCCTTCCTTTTGTGTTCTTGTACATGATATAGCAACTGGGTATGCTGCTGTAATTATCTACCTTTCACTTTTGTAAATGGTAATTTTTGTTTGTTTTGTAATAAGAATCAGTTGGTATGGAGTTTAGAGAAACATTTAAGATTACAAACTGTTTCTAATGAACAGACTGTTTTCTGATGCAAATGGATAGCCAAGTTGAGAGTGAGCTTTATTTCTTTTATGAAGAAGGATGCAGCTTTTCAACGGATTTTGTCCTTATTTTTTTGGCAGATTTGGACTGCCCTACTCAAAAGCATAAACAAGCCTCAGCCTATCAAAAATGGAAATGGGGCACTAACCTGCCAAATACAGGGAAATGAATAAATGGAAGAACAATAAAAGTCAGTAAAGTAGGAAATCTCATGCGGTGTGAACGATTTCCTTTATAACAAAAGCAAAATTTTCTGTTGTGTGTTTCACACAGCTACCCTAAGGATAAATATGTTTTTGTCAAGAATGCTCTCAGGGAAAAGCATGACAATTCCAGAGATCACACTGGCTGATGGGTGGAATGGTTGTTTTGAAAGGAAACATAAGCTTTCCTATAATTTGTGTTCATGTCCTCCCAATATGAGATGACAATTTACTGCAGGTTTAGGAAATTAAACTGTTAGTTTTCCAGGTGCACTGAGGAGGCTTTGAAATTAACTCAGCAAAAGTGAAACTCCATTGTATTTCTCACTGCACAGTGAGAGTCAGCAAGCTGACATTGTAAAATATCCTTAGTAATGGTTAGAAATTCTGCAGGGGGTAAGGTCAAAGAAAGGTTAGCAGCTGACATCAAATCAGAAGCCAGACATGCTGACCCTTAATCATAGGCTTTTGCAGGCTATTTTGGACTTCAATTCAGCATAACATTATTGAATTCACCTTTAGATTAAGCTGGTTTGCTTTGACACATACAAACCCATATGCAAGTTAATGGCTGTGTCATCCACTTCATTATGCAAGCTTTGATAACAGATCAGTGAGGTGACCTCTGCGAGCACTACTTTTCAAGGTCCTTAACCATTTGCATTTTCAATGAATGGAAAGTGTCACTCCCCATTTATGTCATGTTGGATCACTACCTTTGCATATACAAATTAAAACTGGGAATATTAATCTGCAACATGTTTCCCTTTTTTTTCTTGCAAGATAATTTAGAGCTATTTAATTCAGTAGTATGTTGTGATGACAGTCATCTGCTCATTTACTGGTTCAGAATCTTTGCTTTGCAGAGAAAACAGAGACAGTAGTCCCAGCAAAGGCATAGGTATTAGTGGACTGAAATTAAGCATGGTCAGAAATTTCTGAAGGATTAAAATAACTTAGAAAAAAAGACCATATATATTTTCATAAAGGTTTGAAGATGATGAAGTTAAGATTGTGTATGCAAACCCTAACTGTTCCTTGTTGCTTATATATGATTCTGCAGTCTCTGTTTGCTTAGATCGTTATGCAGAGATTTTTTTTTGCAGTAGAACTGAAGTGAAAGAAGACTTTATATGGTGCAATTTCTACTAGTTTAACAAATATTTTTGGGTTGTTAATGTAAGCTTATGTGTGATCTTTATTCAGAGGATTTACTTTCGACTTGCTCACTTACATAGTGCTTACTCAACAAACCACATAGTAATTGGTAGGTCAATGGCAACAGATCAGTCTCTCACACTGTGCACTAAAGAAGGCATTTACTGAATATTGCATCAGTGTAGGATCAAACTCATTGCTGATTCCACTGTAATGACTTATCTTTCAAGCAACTGTAGGGAAGGAGTTAGTCAAGATCTGACCAGTGGGCATATCACCTTTGCAGTCTTCATTGTGCATGGTCCAATTCACATACTGAATAAGGCAGGTATGCAAAAGACTTGTTTCTTAGATTTAGTAATGTCTGACCCTCTTCCTGGTGAGATGACTTCAGTGGGGGTTGTGAACTCCTACAGTGAAAGACCTTGATTGTGCCCATAATGACCTGGGAACCCACATAAGATATGTTATAATCATGGCTGTTAGCGTCATATCTTGGTTGCCAGATACTGAATCCACAGAACTCATTGGTCTGGTCTCTCCTGTTCACAAGGCAAGGGAAGTCATGTGTATGGGCCAGGCTTTTCCCATCGCTGATTTTAGAGTCTATTTCCTGTATTTCTTAACTCCTATTTCACTCACTTATGTATTCTATCCTTTTTCCTATTAACTTGCTGTGGGAGAGCATACTTCAATTATTTTAACACTGAAACCTGAATTTGTGGTCCTTTTAATCTCATCTAGATGAGGAGCTATAAGCCAGCAGGTTTTGGTGGTTTTGTCTTCTGCTCACAGAAGTTTTGTCTGGGAAGCTGGTCACTTAATGTCTGAGGAATGCAGTTACCAAGGAAGGACTGTCATCACAGAAGTCTTGGCTACACAAGGCTGCTTCCACAAAGTCAGCTGCAGTTTTCCAGTTCCCCGAGAGGTCTCTACTTAGTGAAGGCTTTGGACTTCTAAACAAATATATTTCACTTGCAGGTCCTAAGACTTTGAAGCATATATCTGATTCCTATAGGCATGCTTGCTTTTTAAGGTTTAATGTGTGAAAGTCATAGATCTAAAATACCCACCCCATAGTTTTAAGTGCTGTATCCATGTTGTATTGCTGATCTGTTGGGGCTCTGTGTGAATCTCTAATTGGATGGTAGAGGTAGACATTGCAATGCAATTAATCACCTAAAATCCTCATAAAGAGGACACCTATAATGTAATTGATGGGCTTATTTGCATTCTGAAGTGACTGATGCCAGTATCAGTCACAAGACTCAGCTGAGGAGGAGGGCATGACTGATACCTTTTCATACCTGGGTTTTTAGAGTTCTCCTTGGTAATAAAAAAAGAGATAGTGAGGGTAATTTGTACCAAAACCAGACCATCAAGACTGTGGTTGGTTGCTGATGATGTAGTGTGGTGTATCACATACACAGGACCTTGGTACGCGTGTTTAGTGTTTAGGACACTAATGCTGTTTAACAAGCTGGACCTGTTTTACATGAAGTTTGTTACAGCACTTAATGTGACAGAAGAAGCTGGATATTCTACAGTAGCTTTATTAAAATGAAGACATTTGAAGTTAGTTAAATATGGAAGTGTTTCATTATGAGAATGAATTCCTCTGGGATGTTATATTTGTATTACTTTTCCCACTACATGGACAGCTTTGGACTGTTAAAGTTAAGAACAAAAGCTGGATGCTTTTGCTGAAATTCTCCATACAGAAATAATTACTTAGGGCAGTATCGTAACTTATCTTTCAGTTCCAGACTTGACAATCCTTTCAAATGATTAGGGGAAAGCAGACCTCGTAATTTTTTTTTAATTTTCAGGTGTTCTGCAGACCCAGGAAGATGTTATTTATAATCTGTTGATGTATTTAAGTTGATCTTTGTCATTGTGTGGTGAGAAACATCTGTTTTAAACAACAGAAGCTGAGATTATTAATCACTATTCTATAGGAAAGAATTAACGCAGTAATAAACTGCATAGATATAGATTCATTCAATACCTGGAGCTTTACTGATAGCATGGATAAATTGAGGGTTTCATTGAATTGAGATGTCAGTCTTGCATCTGCTGTCACAGCTAAATAATTTTTAAAGGCTTAAAAAGCCCAAGAGGTATCCTGTCCCCATGTGAAATTCATAATTCATTTGTTCCTATCTCCTGGGGGCTATTTTTAGAAATTGCAGAAGAAACAGACAAATTAGTAACTATGTTCATGTTTATAGTTTAATCCTATGAAAGGGGGAAGAAGTAAGGCAGTTGTAATCTGCAGAAATTAGATTAAATTTAGTAGCACATTTGGATTTTCTTTTTGGTAAAATATTCAAATTGGAAAATTGTGTGATCCTTAAAGACTTCTGTCTGTGAAAGCAAACAGAGGAACTGAAAATGGACACAGAAGGGGTGTCTGGAAGCAGCCTCTGTGAATGCTGCCAGTCACAACAAGAAAATGATAGGGTGCAAAATAGACTGAATAAGTCAAATATTTTACTTTGGTATTTTCACCAGATTTGTACTTGTAACATGTCAAAAACGAATGCAGAAGTGTTCAAACTTGAGAAGATATTGAGTGAGAAAATAAGTTATACTGCTCTATAATTACTCGAAATCCTCTCCTTGAACCAAGACCCTACAAAGAAATGGAGAGCAAAGATAGGATTGCTGGAGGGAGTAGTGTCGTATAAAACCTATATAGAATGAGGAAGCCTCCGCTTTGTGTTCTGCACCTTAGTCCTTGAGTTTCAGAACTTTAACTCTGGCTTTCTTCAAATTAAAGATGCAAAGTTAAGAGCATGATCCTGACAGTCTGAGCACTGTGCTGAGCTGCATATCTAATCACACTGTCGTTGCTTGTAGGGAAACCTTTAAAATCAAACAAAACCAAACTATTTTACTGCTTGCTCCTCCCCACACACTCCCAACCCCTCCATTTTATAATCATCCTGATTTTCCCAGATTTTCCAATTGGACTCTGCTGGCTCTTTTCAGTCTACTAAATACATCAAATGATAAATGTTTTTTTGTCTTTATCAGAGGGAAAAATTAAGCAGATGTTCTCCACTTTGAGACCCCACAGCTGGTCTCATGTCTTGCATAAAAACAGTTACTAGCTGTACTTTCAATGTAAACACCAGCATGTAAATCTGTATGAGGAGACCATGGAAACAGGGTGCTCATAGACTCTCTGGTTTTGTGGGCTATATGGCAAGGATAGTGTTCTCTGAATCTTTTGGCTACTAATAATCCCCCATAATGCTTTGTAAAGAATAATCTAATGCCTGTAATAACATAATAGGAGGGGAGAAGGTATTTATTTAAATCAACTAAAACATCCTCAAAAATTAATGCATTGAAGCGGTTAGAAAAGCCAGCAGAGAATAACAGGCATGGAGACCTTCTCCCATTTGTCAGCAGAGACTGTTAAACGGTTGAAGCTGCTGTAGCACTGCTTGCGCCAAATAGATGCAACATAATCTTCAGCACTAGAAAATAACTTGATAGCAATAATTTGTAATATGTTGTATTCATGTATTTAACTTGTATGTATAAATGCTATTATTTAATACTTCTGTGTTGGTTGTATATGAAGACATAGCAAAAGAAAAAAAGACATTTACCCATATTACTTATTAGCATTACAAATTACATAGTAGCGTTTTCATGGTCAATCTTTCTTGCAGCAAACTTTCTCTGTACTCTTTGAAAGGAATGAGGATTAGGCACCTGGATTTATTTAAGGATCTGGGTTTCGGTGTCCAAAGTTAACAAAAAAGAAGTTATTTTGTTTCAAGAAAATGGATTTTTCAGCTCATTTTTTAAATGTAAGTTTATTGGAGCAGTCTGAA